TCCTCATTTTCGTTTTTTGGTTTTGGCCAAGAATTTTCATTTCGGTGCATCTTTAACTTATTTGTATTGTTCCTAAAACTTTTAAACCCGCAACTCTAATCCCCCCTCTGGGATTAATAAAGTATCTTTGAATTGAATTGATTTGAACAGTCTCCCTTTTCATCTCTGCATCATTTGTCCTGAATCTCCAACAGCTGAGCACCATGAACGACTCAAACACAGAGCTATCTAATCTGCAACCTTCAGCACTTTGGGTCTCATCTCTGATCTGAGCCGCTCACACTCCATCACTCTAATCCTATAGGACAGTCTTGTGCTAAATGATAAATGACTTGCCCTTGTTTAGCAGCGACGATGGCACAGGAGTTAAGGGCTCGCCTCATAATCGGAAGGTTGCAGGTTCGAGCCCCACTCAGTTTGTCACTGTTGTTGCGTCATTGGACAAGACACTTAACCCCCCTTGACTGCTGGTGGTGGTTAAAGGGATTGGTGGCACCAGTGCTCGGCAGCCTCGTCTCCGTCAGTGCGCCCCAGAGCAGCTGTGGCTACGCTGTAGCTCATCCCCACCAGTGTGTGAATGTGGGTGTGAATGGGTGAATGACTGCTTGTGTTCTAAAGAAAACTCTAGAAGTATGCCAAATACAGGCCATTTACCATTTTTACCATTTAACACCTTTCTGAGTCAGGGGACTGCAAATCCCTTTACACTATGATAAATTATTCATCCATTCACACATTCACACGCTGATGAGCCACAGCTGCCCTAAGACACACTGACAGAAGCAAGGCTACACAAGCACCACCGGCCCCTCCAACCATCGTCAGCAGGAAAGACGGGTGTGGTGTCTTACCCAAGGACAAAACAACTGTGACAAAGTGGGCAGCACTCAAACCTGCAACCCTCCGGTTATGGGGTGGGCTCTTAGTTCCTCTGCCATTGGTCACTGTTCACCAACTCTATGCATCTTCTGATCACAGGCTCATTTGAGATCTCCTTCTACATCAGACTGTCATGTTTTGGGGTAAGTGTCTAACCCAAGACATACAGACTCAGACTTGGAGGCAAGGTAAAAGGAACAAAATAATAATTTTATGAAATGATGAGGAGAACTGAGGGCGCACTGGTGATCCAGCGGAAGGTGAAAACAGGAAACGGCAACTAGAGGGAAACCAGAGGAGAACTGTTGTAATCCAAGTGGGTAAGTGGAATGGAAGAGGATGATGATAATGAGGAAATGGAGAGGGAGCATGATAACGGTGGAGAGCGGGACGGCAGAGAGGAGTAGGAGTCCAGGAAGCGAACCGGTGAATAATCCTTTCTCGCAGAGACGTGTGAGGATCCTGAGATGCAGTAAGCCTGAGGGTAAGTATCCAAGAAAACGAGTTTGAGTTACACGGGTTCAAAAAGTCTTACAAATTCAAAACGAAGTTCAAAGTCACGAAGGGCTAGAGACTACCAGTCAGTAGTTAATCATCCGGCGTCGGATCAGGATAACCTTCCTCCTTTTAAAGCCGCCCCGCTGATCAGGCTGATGAAGATCAGCTGCGCTCCCTCTCCTGCAGGCAAAAACTCATAGATGGTGAGATGATGGGCAGAGTACTCACCCCAGCTCATGACACAGACATGTACAAATACTACTTCTGCAACTTTTTGGGCATTTCAGTGGTTTTCCATGGACTTTGCTGCTTGGTGCCACCATGGCAATGGAGCGCTTTACTGGCAGTACGTTCCACCAACGCAACCAAGGGGCGGACCATCTCTATGGTACTGATGGTGTGGTTCTTTGCTGGCTGCATATCTGCTGCCTCTGACAGGGTTTGGGAGCTACCACATCCAGACACCAGGCTCCTGGTGTTACTTCAACATCAGCTCAGAGAGACATGATGGGCCTTCTCTCTGCTTTTCTCCTGTGTTGGACTGATCAGCATTGCTGTGTCCATTTTACTAAACACAGTGAGTGTGGTGACCCTGATTAAAGTTTGCCGTGGACCGGACAGGAGCCAGAGACGTAGAGACCATGAAGTGGAAATGATCCTTCAGCTTATTCTCATCATGACCAATGCTGTGTGTATATGTAGCTCTTCTGAATTATTGCATCTGGTAAAAAGCAAAAAGTTTCACGAACTTTGTTTCTAATCATGTTTCAGCACAAATGTAAAAAAATTACATTCTTTAGAAAAAAGCTCATTCATCTTCCTCTCTCTTAAAATTACCAAGCTACATAAAAAACTTATGAATACATTTTAAACTCATTTTTTATTTCAATGGCAGATGCTTTTGTTAAATAATGAAGCTTTTTTCACAGTTTTATCTCAGAAAAACAGTCTGCCCTGCTTCTGTTTTCCTTTAAACTCAGTGAATAAACTAGAAGGACTGCACTGTCACTCTGAAATAGTTGGCCTGCTACTGGCCTCCTGGTTTCAATCTGTACAAAAATGCACAAGTTCTCATCCAGCTCTTTTATCAGCTCAGTTTTTCAAACAATTTAACCCCAACAGGGCACCAAGAGGACCTGGAATCAATTTCTTCAGTTTCCATGAGTGTGCTATATACTGTAAAGACTCTGACACTAGTCAGTGACTCGATGCAATCTGCTGGGTTCCTTATATAGGAAACTTTTTACTAATTGGCTTAATGACCTGACCTGCATTGGAATGTTTACTATGTGAAGTGCCTTGAGACGACTCTTGTTGTGATTTGGCGCTATATAAATAAACTTGAATTGAGTTGACTTATGGAGACCGTAAACTCTCACCTGGAGAGGTCCTGCAGCCCCATGATGAATTTGTTCCCATGATGAATTTGTGGTGTGCAGAGATTTACGTCATCTCCAATCGGGAGCAACCTTCTTTTTTTCAGGGTCGAAAATCAATGAAGCACTCCTGACATGCACACAACCTGAACCTGTAGCACAAACTCCCTTTGAGCTATTAATACATTTTTATCAGGGGATGTTTGGGGTTGAGTTCCTGTTTGGCAGTAGCAATCATGAAAGATAATCTGTTTTTCAGAGCTGGGTAGTTTAGTGGTGTCCCTTTTACTCCTATACTTTCTTTCAAGTTGTGAATAGTAACACACTGCAGGGCTGGCTGGATTTAGTGGCAAAAGATGGCAGAGAAATATAGATCATTTATGATAGAGATACGTCAATCACGTTGAAGCCAATATGACTTCATTTGATAATCGGTGTGTGCGTCTTTATATGTTTACGTGGACAAATTTTGTCTTTTAACCTGTACTGTGTGGACATTTCTACATTGTGGGGACGTTGCTGATCTACACAATATGGAACACCCTAATATGTGGTTTTAGAGGTGTGGTGTGGATTAACTTTTAGTTTAGATTAATTTAGGTTAGGGTCAGTAAAAGAACCCCATTGGTTAGGGTATGGCTTAGACATAGTGGAATCACTAAAACAAATGGAAGTCAAATCAATGGAGGTCCACACAAGAATATAAATACGTGTGTGTGTGTGTGTGTGTGTGTGTGTGTGTGTGTGTGTGTGTGTGTGTGTGTGTGTGTGTGTGTGTGTGTGTGTGTGTGTGTGTGTGTGTGTGTGTGTGTGTGATTAAATTTAGAGGCAGCAATAGGGAGCCTAAGTCACTTTCGCATCATGGGTCCCCGGAAGAACGAAAACAAGAATGCAAGTCAACGGGGCTAAAACGTTATTTTCTAATCCGCTTTGCCTTACGCCCTGGATCGCACACATGTTGTACTGTAATTTAAATGAAAAGTAATGATGGGTGTTTCGACCACGGCTGTCACGTACTTTGACATTTATTAGCTTGTAAAAGTTCGTAATTAGCATGACTACAAACTAGAAATCGGCACGTCGCATACTGTATATGTGACATCACCACATAATCTCCTCTCCCCAAAGTAGCTGCTACTTACCAAATGACCAGATTTATGGTGGTTCTTTCCTCCTGTGGGACGTTTGCCGAACTTACAGCCATTTTCCCTCAGTTTTCTCCGTGTCTGGTTCGATGACGTCACTTTCGTGAAGCGCATTTGTAGTTCTGGACTTATCTTCACACAAAATCTAAATTAGCGTTCCCCCGTTCGAAAATAAGCACATTCTTGGTATCAAAATATGTCTTTAAAATTCACGGACATCATATGTGAAATCCATGGCACAAAACAAGCAGAATTAGAAAATAGCATTTTTAGCCCCATTGACTTGCATTCATTTTTTTTGTTCTTCCAGGGACCCAGGTTCAATCCCAGCTCCCGACAGAGAATTCTGCTGTAGTGTCCTTGGGCAAGACACTTAACAATCCCTACTTGCTGGTGGTGGTCAGAGGGATGGGTGGTGCCTGTGCTCGCCAGCCTCGCCTCTGTTAAAGCACCCCAGGACAGCTGTGGGTATAGTGTAGCTCATCACCATTAGTGTGTGGATGTGTGTGTGAATGGGTGAATGATACACTGTAGTGTAAAGCACTTTGGAGTCCTCTAACTCTGAAAGGCGCTACACAAGCGTGGTCATCTATCATTCATTAAATGATACACACTGTGTATAAAATATGCTCTAGCTTCAAACCAAACGTGTCAAACAGCTGATGATGCTATCGTCGTCATCATTCCATATTCAGTCAGGAATCTCATGCCAGTGACCTGACATATTATACACTGGATTTTTTTTAATCCAAACAAATACCTCAGAGATTGTCACGCAGCCTGTTTTATTAATTATACAAACAGAAGAAGTGCATCAGATGCTGTGCTTCTTTTGATTTGAAACACTCTAAATATGCAACAACATGAATCCAACAGAGCCTGAATAACACTCATTCAGGCTCTGTTGGATTCATGTTGTTACTTATTCAGTGTGTGTTATCCTTCCTCATACTAAATGTTCACACACTACTGTCCTCCCACATCTCTGTGCGCTATTTTCACCCATGTTTAGTGTCACATCTGTAATATAACCCAGTGTCTTTTGAAAGGCCTCCCCTTTTGTCTTCCTGGGAGGGGTGAGATGACCAAAAGGAAGTGTGATCAGAGGGGGAGGGATGAGTATCTAAACTGCTGTAGGAGAGAACGCAGCTGGGACAGAGACTTATGGGCTGCTGCTGCTGCTGATGTTTATTTTTTATTTATTTATACAACATCTTATGTTCATTTTCTGCCGTTAATGTTTGTCCTAAGAAGACCTAAACATAAAATCAGTTTGGATGGAATAGTTAAAAGTTGGTTGATCTCTCCAAGCTGCAGTGGTAAGACCAGTCCTACTTGCATTTTATGTATTTTTTTGTTATGATGAAAACAATCAGTGGATCGTGGGATTATACCAACCAACTCTATGCTAAATTTTCAGCTGATACCCAGAGGGATTTTGTTAGATCCTGTTATTTCCTTTCAGTTTATTACCTTTAACATTTTGCAAGTACAGATTATTGATGTGTCACGTACTTGTATGGAACTGTGCAGTTTTTGTTTTCTGGCAGTAAAATGTTCAGAATGTTCACCAAATCAGACCTTACAAATTATAAACCTGTAAGTGACTTTAGCCTGAAACTCTTTACAACACAATAACAAACTAATTGTGCCGAGATCATTTTTGTGGACTTACAGCATTGTATATATGCAGTTTATAATCTATTATTATACTTTCATCAATTAGTTTGCAAGCTCACAAATGTATTTGTTGCCACTGGAGGTAAATCCTAAGATTTAACAAGTAGTTTAAGTATCTTTATTTATTTATTTATTTATTTTTTGTGATTTCCAAATAAAACTGACAGAAATCCTCTAAAAGAAAAGAAAAATAGTTCAAAATGGAAGCCATTTTACTGGAACTGGTAATACAAAATGCAATTATTGTTGATTTTTGCTGCTAAGAGTCTGAATCTGTCATGTGAACTGATTGGATTTCATGTCCTAAGGCCAGATGCATTCAAGTCACTTGTGACTAAAACAGTAGCAAAAATTGAGCACTAAATTATTACTTCACAATAAATAAAAAGCTATGCAAAACTGAATAAGCACGATCGTTAAGGCCTAAGAATACCAAGTTTGCCAAACTGTAAACGGAGACACAGTAGAGATGAAAACATACTAGTTTCCTAAAACCATGACAGGTGATCTAATGGATGAAATAACAAAAAATGATTAATTTGGAAAAGTCAATAAAGAGATGATTTTTGAGCAAAGACGCCAGAAAAGCTGCACCAGCAGAAGCATGCATTATTTGGATGTCAGGTCAGATTACAAATCTTGTGGGACGATGATTAGAAAGGAGACGCAAATGTGTGTGACAATAAATAAGCAAATCAAACTTAGTATCATTAGATCAGAATAATCACTAGACATGATTTTGTCTGACAAGATGCTTTTTGCAAATATAAAATTTGAACTTAGTTTTTTGCTGTGTTGTTTATGCAAAAATCACCTCGTAGATCACATTCTTGGTTCATGCATGATCAATTAGTAAGTTAAAAAGGTCTTAGTAATAATTTAAAGAGGTCTTTCACTCATATTTTAATATGTTTGCAGTGGTCTCTAATAGGAATGAAAGCCATGTACGTCGTGCTTGGAGGGGAGGGGGGCTCATGCCCCTGTTTCAGCACAGAAAGTTCAGCTGGGGGAGAAAGTATCTTAATAGGAGCCTTAGTCACTCCCATCTACTTCCGGACCAGAAGAGTGAAAAAATTAATGCAAGTCGATGGGGCTAAAAATGCTTATTTTCTAATTCTGTTTGTTATGTGCCATGGATCTCACATTGGATTTCAAAGACACATTTTGATACCAGGAAAGCACTTATTTTCAAACGGGAAGGAAACGTTTTAGGTTTTATGTGAAGTTAAGTCCAGGACTACAAATGCGCATCAGCAAAGTGACGTCATCAAACCAGACACAGAGAAAAATGCAGGGAAAATAGTAGTAACAGGGACTAAATCAGTGGACGTAAACAGGGCTATAACATCTTTAGAAATCTATACAAAATATATATATATATATATATATATATATAATTTATTTATTTAAGGTTTCTGCTTAATTATGTTTCAGAGTTATTAATAAAAGTACATGCATTTACCAAGCCCAGATAAACTCATGACCACAGAATGACCACATTTATACTTGAGGATTTCTTAGCCTTTGTTTTAAGTTTTAATTGATGCAATTCTAATATACAGCATCTGGAAAGTAATCAGAGGGTATCACTTTTTCAACATCTTGTTATGTTATTCCAAAATGGATTACATTGATTTTTCCTCGCAATTTAATACACATACTGTATTTGGAGAGATTTCGAGACAATCCCTTCTCAGAGGTTTAAAGACAATCCCATAGATTTTGTGCTTGGTATGTTATCTGACATTCACTATCAACTGTGGGACCTCATGTAACCTGATATGTGCCTTTCCAAATCATATCTAATCAACTGAATTTACCTCTGGTGGACTCCAATTAAGCTGCAGGAACATCTCATGGATGAGCCCGAGTTGGAGTTTGAGCTTCATGGCGAAGGGTCTGAATACTTATGTAAATGTGATTTTATTTTTCATTTTTCATCAATTTAAAAAAAATATCTCAGAGAAAGATTATTTCACATTGTCTTTATGGGGTTTTGTGTGTGAAGTTTTGAGGGAAAAAAATTAATCTGCAATGGCAAATCTGCAAAACAAACTAGTTTTTAAACACAAACATGGACACAGAACTCCAACCCCTCCCGTTGGCTTTCATCCCTGACCCTTGTACACCTGATACCAGAATCTGCATTGCCACAGTAAAGGAGAGAGCACAAAACACCTTCACCATTTTCCAGGTCCAAATGTCTTATTTTGTCCGCAAATGGTGTTTTTCGTTTTGGGACTCTGGTAGTTTGTTTTAAAGTTGAAGTGCGAGCAGTCGACTGTTTCCCTTTTCTGATATTATTGAGTTGAGAACCTCTCACACCAGTGGTGTTCTGTTGCTAAATACAAAAATACGTAACGAATGGAGGACCCAGGTAAATGCAGAAGCCTGGTGGTTTTGTGAGACAGAAAAGTCATTGGTTGGCCGAGCCGTGTTATTGGCTGTGGTTTTTAGACAAATGCGGAAAAAAAAACATTTTATAATTTTTTTTTTTTACCTCCACAAAATATTTTGAGCCATCTCATGATAGAACTTTACTGAGAGGCATGAAACAAATCTTCTTGATCCTCCAGGGTTACTTGTGGTGTACCACAGGGTTCAGTGCTTGGACCAATTCTTTTTACTATATATATGCTTCCAATTGGTAAAATCATTAGACGGCATGGGATAAACTTCCACTGTTATGCTGACGATACTCAGTTATATCTATCCATTAACCCAGATAAACCTAATCGGTTAGGTAGATTACAGGCTTGTCTTAAAGACATAAAAAATTGGATGACTCAAAACTTTCTGCTTTAAATCAAGACAAGACTGAAGTCCAGCAAAGGAAATTGCTTTGTCAGTCACCTGACCTGAACGGCATTAAATTAGTGTCCGAGAACAAAGTAAGGAAATTTGGTGTTATCTTTGACCAGGACATGTCATTCAAATCCCACGTTAAACAGGTTTGTAGGATTTCCTTTGTCCACCTTCAGAATATTGCTAAGATTAGAAGCATCCTGTCCAGAAGTGGTGCTGAAAAACTAGTTCATGCATTTATTACATCAAGACTGGATTACTGCAATCCATTACTCTCAGGAAGTCCACAGACTGTAGTTAAAAGTCTTCAGCTTGTCCAAAATGCTGCAGCTAGAGTTCTGATGAGAATTTAAGAGAGCTCATATCTCTCCTGTCTTAGCTTCCCTACATTGGCTGCCTGTTAAATTCAGAATAGATTTTAAGATCCTCCTTCTCACATATAAAGCTCTTAACAATCAATCTTCATCATACTTCAGTGACCTGATTGTTCCATATGTTCCCAACCGAGCACTTCGCTCTCAGACTGCAGGTTTACTGGTGGTTCCCAGAATATCTAAAAATAGGATGGGAGGCAGATCTTTTAGCTATCAGGCTCCTCTTTTGTGGAACCAGCTCCCAGCTTTAGTCCGTGAGGCAGACAGTTTGTCTACTCTTAAGACTAGGCTTAAAACATTTTTATTTGATAGAGCCTATGGTTAAAATCTGATGTTAGCCTAGATCTGGACATGTGGGGCAGTAGAGGGGGGGGGGAGTGTACAGTCAGTAAAGATGCTCTCCCTTGCCCTGCCTCCAACATGTCTCCATCTAAAAGGCTAGGTTATCCAGAGTTATCTCTGTAGTTGTGCTGCTATAGGCTTAGACTGCTGGAGGACACACTGACCACTTTTCACACTCTACTACTTTCTTCTACAATTTGCTCTTTAACTGTTTTATTTCCTGCAATTTCAGCTGTTCATTTTATTTTTTCTCTAAGTGTTTTTCTCCCCAGAAGAAGCTACAATGATGTTCTGCTGAGCTGTGGTGGCCTCATGGAGGAGGCCATCGACTTGAACACTGTTGCTAACCACTTAAACGTTCTCCCTCTCCTGATAATAACATTTTACTTTCTTTTACATTGAATGTGCTACTACTAGTTTACCTGTTTAATTATAGATGCACTGGGATAAATACAATAAAGTTTATCTCTCACCAAATAGAATATTTACTAAGAAATCACAATGCAACCATAGAAACATTACTTGGTATATATGTTGTGTGCGTGTGTGTGTGTGCTCTGTCGTCTCGATCCCCAGAGTCGTGGTGGATGGCTGCTTATACTAAGCTTGGATCCTCTGAAGGTTTCTTCCTGTTAAAAGGGAGTTTTCGTCTCCACTGTCATTAAATGCTTGACTAGTGTCAGTGACTTGATGCAATTTGCTGGGTTCCTTATACTAGAAACGTTTTACTGAATGGTTTAATGAACTGACCTGTAATGGAATGTTTACTATGTGAAGTGCCTTGAGATGACTCTTGTCGTGATTTGGCGCTATATAATTAAACTTGAATTGAATTGAAACAACATTTCAAGCTAGCTTGTTTTGCTGATTTGCCATTGTAGCGTCAATCCATTTTGGGATAAGGCTGCAACACAACAAAATGTGGGAAAAGTGATACTCTATGAATTAATTCAGTCTAGAAAACAAATATCTGACATAAAGCAAATAAAATTCCCTTTATTTATTGTACACAAAAGTGTGTCTAGATTGTCATTTTCCAAATGTTGAGCTATTACAGGCTGGGGTCACACCATGGGACTAATTGTAATGACTATTGATCTACTTCCTGTTAGTGGCTCCCTCACTAACCTCAGAGATGGGTTTCCTGCCAGGATATGCTCTCCCTCCCATGTGTTTTAGCTCAGTTTCTTCTCTCCTATCACTACTTTTAGTATCTACAAAATGTACCTGTTTTCACTTTGGCTTTCTATTTTAGTTGATTTTGTTTCTTTGTTTCTTAATGGTTCAGCCAAATCTATAGAAAATTCTCCAAAATTTACCTTTTCTTTTGTTGTTGTTTTTAGGTTGAATGGAGACCTGAGATACTCGTTTTTCTATCTCTGCTTCATTGGCCTGAACCTTCATCAACTGAGCACCATGAACAACTCAGACACCACCCCGCTCTGCTACGCTAACACCAGCACTCAGTTCGTGTACGCTCCAGAAATGGGAAAAGTTTACTTCTCAGCCACCTTCACCACTTTGGGTCTCATCTCTAATCTCATTGCTTTCATTGTCCTCATCACATCCTGCCAACGAACAAAGAGCCGCTCACGCTCCTTCTTCCTAATTTTCCTGGGCGGTCTTGTGGTCACAGACTTCATGGGTCTTCTGGTCACAGGCTCATTTGTGATCTCCTTCTACATCACACACGTCGACTGGCGCCAGATTGACCCTGCCTGTCACTTCTGCAACTTTATGGGAATGTCAATGGTCTTCTATGGACTATGCCCTTTGCTGCTTGGTGCCACCATGGCAATGGAGCGCTTTACTGGCATCAACTGCCCATTTGCACGTTCCTCCAACGTAACCAAGGGGCGGACCATCTCTATGGTACTGATGGTATGGTTCTTTGCTGGCTGCATATCTCTGCTGCCTCTGACAGGGTTTGGGAGCTACCACATCCAGACACCAGGCTCCTGGTGCTACTTCAACATCAGCTCAGAGAGACGTGACTGGGCCTTCTCCCTGCTTTTCTCCTGTGTTGGACTGATCAGCATTGCTGTGTCCATTTTACTAAACACAGTGAGTGTGGTGACCCTGATTAAAGTGTGCCGTGGACCGGACAGGAGCCAGAGACGTAGAGACCATGAAGTGGAAATGATGGTTCAGCTTATTCTCATCATGACCATCGCTACTATTTGTTGGTGCCCCTTGTTGGTAAGTCTTAGAAGGGCTTCCTCAGTGCATACGTAGCTCCTCTGAATTGTTGTATCTGGTAAAAAGCAAAAAGTTTCAAGAACTTTGTTTCTAACTATATTTTTAAAAATTGCTCATTCATCTTCTTTTTTTAAATTACAAAGTGTCAACATTCTGAATACTTTAAATATACTTTTAGGAAAATGTTTTTATGGTAGATGCTTTTGTTAAAAAATGAAGCTTTCTGACACATTTTGACCGTTTTATCCCAGAAAAACAATCCGGCTTGCTTCTGTTTTCCTGTGAACTTAGTGAATAAACTAGCATTATTGTGCTGAAGAGTGTGTCACTCTGAACTTTGACTTGCTACTGGCCACCTGGTTTCAATCTGTACAAAAATGCTCATGTTCCTGTGATTCTTGTTATCCGTAGTCTGTGTTCAGTGAGGTGATTAGACCCATAAGCTTTCTAACATAAAGAAAAGGTTTTCATCAAGCTCATGTAGCAGCTTAGTTCTTCAAATGGTTTATCCCTAAAAGGGTATCAAGAGGACCGGCTCATTTTCTTCTGTTTCTATGATCATGCTTCATCTGTTTGCTGCAATGCAGCTTTCTGACAAGCAGATCTGAAAGTCTTCAGGTCGTATTTTTGCATTCCGGAAAACCCTCAAGTGGCACTTTTGAGTCAGTGAAGTAAAAAAAAAACCTTTAAAGGAAGTGGATCATAATAAGATTATATGAAACATTACTGTTCATGATCCATTTAAAATGGGGCAATAAAAACATGCAACTTGACAATCACATGCAATACCTGGTGTGTGTATTATTTTACCATCATGTCTAACTAGTCGTGTGACACTCTGAACAGATATATATTCTGAAGAGCAGCATGGATGTCTTGGCAAGCCATGAAAAGGTTTTGTTCTACATACGAATGGCCTCCTTGAATCAGATACTTGACCCCTGGATATACATCCTGTTTCGAAGGTCTCGGCTGAGGCGAGTAAAAAGTAATGAAATGAACTAAATATACCAACAAATCTCACCAAGTCACAGCTTGCACCATTGAGAAGTTGGGCTTCGGCACCAGCATGTTTAATGAAGCTCATGGAAAGGCATGCTTGTGCATTGCAACCTAATTATTTAGCACCATTAGTGATGTCATCATAAAACCCAAAGCATGCTATAGAGTCAGCATCATGCCTTATCTTGGTTTTACATTACAGTTTCAGCTCATCACTTGGCTTGCATGATTTTAGTAGTTTTTTTTGTTTTATGAATATGGAGCCTAAAACTTATCTCCTCCTGGTCGGCTCATGGGTCCCCTTAACAAAAAAGTGCAAATACGTGAATGAGCCATTAGTCCACTTTGCCTTACGCCCTGAATTGCATATGTTGTATTTCAATTGAAATAACAAATTATTGATTTTTTTTGTTGTTGTTGTTGTTTTTATCGGCTTTTAAAAATCATTTCGGCTGATGGCCGATATAGAAAAAAATTTAATAAATTGGTCGGTATAGTCATGAGTTTTGGGTAGTGACCAAAATAATTAGATTGCGGATACAAGCGGCCGAAATGAATTTTCTCCCCAGGGTGGCTGGGCTCTCCCGTAGAGATAGGATGAGAAGCTCGGTCATCTGGAAGGGGCTCGGAGTAGACACGCTCCTCCTCCAAATGGAGAGGAGCCAGTTGAGGTGGCTCGGGCATCTTGTTTGGATGCCTCCTGGACGCCTCCCTAGTGAGGTTGTCTGGGCACGCCCAACTGGGAGGAGACCCAAGGGAAGACGCAGGACACACGGGAGGGACTATGTCTCACGGCTGGCCAGGGAACACCTTAGGATTCCCCTGGAGGAGATGGCTCATGTAGCTGGGGAGAGGGAAGTCTGGGCCTCCCTTCTTAGGCTACTGCCCCCATGACCCAACCATGGAATAGCAGCTGAAAATGGATGGATTATTGAAACAATAATTGCATTGAAAACAGCATCTCCAGTTGTCAGATTTTGCATTATCTCAGAGCATCTAAATATGAAGAAACAGTAAAATGGTTAAATAACCTCATAGTGATTTGCAAGAAGAGTGATCTAGTCATGTTGTGTTTTAAATCAGGTGTGCCTTAAAGCTGTCCACATATACTGGACTAGGTCCCATATTTACGCAGATGATGCATGATTTGCATGCAGGCTTTTAACTCAATAATGTGGGTTTTGCACAAGGTAACAGTATTTCTTGCACTGCTTGGATGAATACCACAGGAGAACAGAATTCATACGCCAGCTGAATGTTAAATAAGAAATACAAGCAGCACTTAGCCAATTTGTCATTTCAAAAAGAGCTTGTTAGCATGTTTTACTCCACAGGAGATTCCTGGAGTAATGTTAATAATGCTATGCTTCACATAAAACGCTGCAGCTTAAGTAAAGTAGTGGGGTTAATTGTTACCCCCTGCCTCAAGAGAGTCATGACAAAGTTAGCCTGTCACTGACCAGACTAAACACAAATCCAGTCTCCACGTGCTTTTGCAATTTCAACTTTCTTCCATTCTTCCATTTCTTAGAACTTGTTTCAGTATTTATTTCTATTTTCCTGATATGTTTCCTGTTTTTCTCTTTTCTGTATGTCCCTACCAGGTCTTCATTGCCCAGACTGCTTTGGCCGGAGGGCCTGTAGAGGTCAGATACATGCTGCTGTGGATTCGCTTCGCCACCTGGAATCAGATCTTTGACCCATGGGTGTATATCCTGTTTCGCAGGTCTGTTTTGAAGAGAGTGAATCCTCGCTTGGACTGGTCCCAGAACTCCATTATGACTTTGTACCCATCTTTTTATGAGAACATGCGCCGATTTACTCGATCTTCAACTAGGGTCAACTTGGGCTCAAATAGCACAGACAAGGCTGGGAAATCAAACGTGTCGTCTGGCTCTAAAGTCAGGTCGACACAGCCTCCTCTTCATAATAACCTGGAGCCTTAATTACAGCAGACCAACAACAGCATTAGAAATGTTGCTGTTTCTGCTTTTTGTTTGAATTGTGAGGATAAAATGCATAGTTTCATCTTTTATTCATTATCTTAATCACTTATTCCTCACCAGGGTTGTGTGGAGCTGGCCTAACTCCAGCAGCCATTGGCTGGCAGGGAACACCCTGGGACAGGTAGCCACTTTATCAAAAGGCCACTTAGAAACAATCACACCTATATTTACAGTCTCTGGCTATTCTGACGTCCATGCACACATGCATGTGGAGAAGATGCCAACTCTGCACTGAATGCGGTCCTGGTCTGTGTCTGCGTCTCCCTCATGTGTCTCCTTGTGTGCTCCATTCCCCCCTAAGAATCCCCCTTATGTGTATCTTTGTGTTCCTCATGTGTCCCCTGGTCTTCAGCCCTCCAGATATTCCCTCCCAGGTCCTGTGTTCCTTCAATCTTCCCCAGTCACCCCTCTGCAGTTTTGTATAGGTTCAGCTTCTCATTTTATTAGTCTCTTTAGAATGTTTTCCACAGGTTTTTGTAGTTTCCCTTCCCCTTAGAATATTAGTTTATTTTGCTGCTCATCTTGTCTTTAGGTTTTTTACTCTTAGGTCATGTTAGTTTCCTCCCTGATTAGTTAACTCATTCACTGCCAGCCGTTTCCTGATCACTAACGGCCTTCGCTGCCAGCGTTTCTCACCATGTTTACTGTTTTTTTAAGAGTCACAGAACGTTGCGCGCTAGCATGATGTCGATGCCAAAACAACCAAAACAAAGAGGAGACTCACCTCTTACATCAGGAAGAAGCCGCATGTTTCGAGCGTTATCCGTTCTTTCATATTCCGTTGTCGAATTGTGATCGGCAGACGCTTTTCCGGTTCGCGCCTCACTTTTTTTACAGGAACGGCCCAAAATGATCTCCAAACACATGGATGTGTTGCTTCCTGATCATGTGATCTGTGACGTATGCGGATGAAGATCGGCTTCAGGGTTGAGATGTTTGTTCTCTCAGCGCGGGGGCTCGTTCCGATGCTCAAACAGTAAAAAAAATGCAAATGACGACTTTAGTCGTCATTGGCAGTGAACGGTTGGATCTAAAATGACAACTTAAGTCGTCAGTGGCAGTGAATGAGCTTTCACCTGGTTATCTCTCCACACACCTGCAGCCCATCTGCCTCCCATCATGCCCCAGTGTATATAAACCCTGTCTTGTCTCAGTGTCTTGTCGCTCACTTTGTTGTTGTCAGCGTTTTTTTGGTAGCCTGGCAAGCCAGACTAAATAAATGTATTATTTAGTCTGGCCACGCTCCATTGATGGCTCTCGGTTGTGGGGCGGGTTCTACTGTTGTCTTTCAAATGATTTCCGCATTCCACTGGACAATGAATGTGACATACTCTTGTTTCACTCTGTTGCATCATCCCACCCATCAGGCATATAGAGTGCCCTGATTGGCCCACAAAGCGGATAAAGCTCTGTGATTTGTTCACTAAGCAGATAGAGCACTATGATTGGCCCACCATTATGGACCAATCACAGCTCTTTATGTGTTTGAAACCCCTCTAGGGAGCTGTGATTGGCTAGCCAGAGTTCTGGTAGGAGCTGCTGAGGTTCCAATGGAGCATGCCTAGACCATTCTTTGCAAAGCAAGAATTTGGTCTAGTTCACTAGGCTATTGATTTGGTGCTCTGTGTGAGCTTTGTATCTCGTCCCCAGGTTTTGTGCTCTATGTGAGCTTTTGTTCTCCTGATTCAGGATTTTTGTTTTTGGCTTCCTGCCCCTTTAGATTTTTAGTTCATCATCCTAAATAAAGGATTTATTTTTAAAACACTCCTGCCTCGTGTCATCTGGGGTAATCTGCATCTTGGGTCCTAACCACCTCCTTGCTCTCAACGTGACAAATGCCCTTAGCTGGGTTCTGAACCTGTGACCTTCCTGCAGTGAAGTAACAGTGCACCCAACTGTTCCACAATTCGTAGTCGACTGATTGCTATTTGTAATGACATGTGCATTATTATTTAAGCTAAATATGCAGAACATGTAGCTGGTCTAAAACAGTATGCATGTGACCTTTTGCAGACTTTTGGAGTAAAACATGAACATTAAACTGACTGTCATTATACATTTATAAAATATAAAATATGCTGAAAATTGTATTATATCATGTCTGTCTTAGTTAACATTAGACTGTTACAAAGACTGTTGACATATTTATGATGAATCATGTTACCTGTTTCATGGTGAAGAACACTTGTGTAAATATTATATGTGTGTTTTTTGATGTACCAAGTTAGGTTTTATTAATAAGGTTTCCATATTAACAATGACTCATGCGATTGGGCCATCTTTATTGATGTTAGATTAGTGTTGCTGTGTAGCAGCTGAGGCAGGTCGTGTTATTAGCTTAGTGATGTATTCATTGTATTTGAATATATTTAAAGTATTTGAATGTTAACTACCAGTACTGTTGAAAGTGGGAAAAATTGGGATTAAAACATTTGATAACTGGAATGATTTGGACTGATGCTGATACGGATTCTCAAAAGGTCAAAATGTTTGAGCTTTTTCACCACTTTGTCGTTACAGATGCAAATTCAGTTTTTCCAACAACTGACAAGTGCATTTTTACCTTCATGTGCTGTAGATGACCAGTTCTCAGTTTCCTAGAAAAAGGAACCGCAGCTTTTTACAAGCCATACAGCATTACTTCCATATTAAATGAATCATTTAATGTATTTTTTTCTGCAGTATGAAATCTGAAGTAAACCATAGTACGTTTTCCTGCCCTTTTAGGGAAAAAGACGTTTCCCTGTAAAATACCCTAAAAGAAGTTTAAGAGACTGGATTATGATGTGCTCTTTTAATCCATCCATGAAAACCTTCACAAAATCGATGCGGAACTCCTGACATCCACTCAAGCTGAAGTAATTTCACAAACCTCCTTTGATGTGTTTATTTATTTTATATGGGAATGTTTTGGGTTGAGTTCCTGTTTGGCAGTAACAATCACGTAAGATAATCTGTTTTGCAGAACTGGGTGGTTTAGCTGGGGGATGTGTCCCTTATTAGTGTTTTCTCCTGCATGGATGTAATTTTCACTGTAGAAGTGCAGGGGACACGGGGGGGGGGGGGGGGTGGGGGGGGGGGGGGTATCTTTACAGTATTTTCTAATGGGAAACAGTTGTTTTCCGCTTGGTCCTAGAGCTCAACCACTGTCAAGTTAATATAAAGTAATATTGTTTTTGGATGGTAAAAAGTGCAGGGGTCAAAACTTGACTTTGGAAAAAGTGGGGGGGGGGACATGTCCCCCTGTCACCCCCCAAAATTACGTCGATGGACCAGATTACTGTCTTTACTTTATTTCAAGTTGTGATTGGTAACACACTGAAGGACTGGTTGTATTTAGTGAAAACGTTCATATTATTTATGCTACCCAATGTTTATTATAGTTGGTTTTATTAATATGAAGCCTTTTCCCTCTCCAAAGTCCTTTGGACACGTGCATGTGTGTGCAACCTGTTGGACAGACACATCATCACCACATTTTTTACCGAATCAAACAAAATGTTATTGTATCTATTTTCTTCCAGAAAATTCTTGACTTTCCATTAAATGCAGAACATTTATTTGAAACCCACCACTGACAGTCAGACTACCCAGAAATATCTCTGTCTTGCTGTTCCTGGCTTTCCATCTGCGGCGGTGTATTGGTTGCATTCCCAGGTGGTTCACAGATGTCCACTGCCTGATTTACAGTCTGGTGCATGTGCAAAAGGAGAAAACCCACAAACATTTTTTGAGTTTATCTTTATTCAAACATGTAAAATGTTCATGTTTAGATGATCCAGTAAATGTTGTAAACAACACTTTGTCATGCATCTTCACAAAGGAGTTCAGGACAGGCCGTAATACAAAAGGATTTAAACCTACACTGCTTTTGGGGTTTGAATTCATAGAAAACTCCAAAGGAAAGAGGTGGTGATTGTTTTGATTATAATAAAACATGACTGAAAGTCAAAACAAGGACTGGCAAGGTGACATTAAAACAATAATACATGTTGCATTTTTACAAATGAACAGAGAACAGAGCTGCTCCCCTCTGCTGTGAAATGTCTACATTTTATCATTTTTAACATCTCTTACGGCTCTAAATACATCAAACAAAAACACATCGGGGAAACCAAAATCTCCAAGAGCTGAATCCAGAGCTTGCGCAAACTCATCGGGGTTCTTCTTGTCTTTGCCTGCTTCCACAATGGTGGTTGCTGCAAAGAAAAACAAACAAATAAGACTTCTTTCACATGTTAAGGTCAAGCTTAAAGATAACTCAACATCATTTTAATGCAGCAGCTGATGACAGTTACCAAAGTGTCCTCATGTTTACTTTGCTTGTTCATGAATTTCAATCAATTTTGGGGGTATTTCCAAACCTTTTAAATACAATACTAAAAACAGCATCTCTCGGGGGGCCCGATTCTGTTCATAGATGTTATGGACAGGACGTTTAGGCACAACCAAGGTGTTGAGGGGATCCATTTTGGTGGCCTGAGGAGTGAGTCTGCTTTTTGCAGATGATGTGGTCCTGTTGGCTTCATCAGAAGGTGACCTCCGGCTCTCGTTGGAGTGGTTCGCAGTCGAGTTTGAAGCAGCTGGGATGAGAATCGGTTCCTCTAAATCTTAGAACATGGTCTTGATTCGGAAAAGGCTAGAATGCCTTCTCTGGGTCAGAGATGAGGTCCTGCCCCAAGTGGAGGAGTTTAAGTATCTCAGGGTCTTGTTAACGAGTGAGGGAAAGCTGGAACGCGAGATCGATAGGGAGATTGGTGCTGCGTCTGCAGTGATATGGGTGAATTCCGGTCTGTTGTGGTGAAGAGAGAGCTGAGCCGAAAGGCAAAGCTCTCGATTTACTGATCGATCTACGTTCCTACCCTCACCTATGGCCACGAGCTTTGGGTAGTGACCGAAAGAACGAGAATGCGGATACAAGCGGCCGAAATGAGTTTTCTCTGCAGGCTGGCTGGGCTCTCCCTTAGAGATAGGGTGAGAAGCCCGGTCATTCGGGAGGGCCTTGGAGTAAACCCGCTGCTCCTCCACATCAAGAGGAGGCAGTTGAGGTGGATCGGGCATCTTGTTAGGATGCCTCCTGGATGCCTCCCTGGGGAATTTTCCGGGCACGTCCAACCGGGAGGAGACCTAAAGGAAGACCCAGGACACGCTGGAGAGTCTCTCGGCTGACCAGGGAACACCTTGGGATTCCCCCTGGAGGAGCTGGCCCACATGGCTGGGGAGAGGGAAGTCTGGGCCTCCATGCTTAGGCTGCTGCCCCCTGCAACCCAACCCCAGATAAGCGGCCAAAAATAGATGGATGAACGGATTAAAAACAGTAAGTGTTTTAAAGAGCAAGTCCCCCCCACCACCACCACCCCCACCAGAATCTTACCCCACCCACATTTCCTGTTTGTTTCCTGCTTAGTCGTTAGTTATGGCTGATGCTGAGTTTTAACCTGATAAGAATGCAAAACTGGCAGTTTTAGGCAGAATGAAATAAGATGCACTAAAACACCAAATAATTACCACAAATGTCTACAGCACTGTTAGGCCCTCATTCATACAGTCTATCAGTAACAATAAAAAAGGCCTGATTTTGTGGTGACTTGCTCTTTTCTTTAACTTGATGAGCAGATTTGTAACTTCTGAGGTTCTTTTATGTTTTTACAGGACGAGGAAATTTAATTGATTGGACAAAAAAGAGTTTTAGAAGTTGTAGATACAATAGAACAGATTTAAGAACAGTTTTAGAAAACATAGGTTTTAATGGAGGTAAACAATGAAATACTTAAAAACCAGTTTCTAAATATGTTGCTTCATTTCTACTGTCATAACATTTTAATAGCTAATACTAAAGTCATTGTTGTTGCTAATTTAATTTAATAAAAACATGTTTATGAGCTGAAACAAGTGATGTATGACCTAGACCTTAAGGTGCATGTTTTAGGAGTTTTTCTGCTCCAAAACCCTCTATTGAATGCTTTAATCACTATTTCATGGCATTATCTTTAGAGGTTGGTTCAAACCAGATCTACAGTTAACAAAAAAGGATCTTAAATCAAAGGATTATTCATTTGAAACCTTTAAATTATAGGTGCTACCGATATAACCTGATCAACCAGCTTTTTATGTGAACACTTAGATCTTAAAGCTGAACAAAAGCCAGGCTAATTAATTAAGAAGGAACCTCAGTGTCCTAAACTTGAATCTGTGCTACAGAAAACAAATGCAACCGTTCCATGAATGATAAAAAAAAACACCACAAGAAATTCACATAAAATCTTGGTTTGTGTGTCAGAATCTGAGTGAACCAGAGTCTGAACGCTAACACGAAGAGTCAGGGCTTTTATAATAAAAATAAATATTATGATTATCTTAAGACACAGGTATAATCCAAAACGCCATACCCAGTTCCAGATCTCTGATGCCCATGTAGCTCTCCAACAAGTCGTCCACCTTCCTGGTGGCCTGTTCCTCAAACTCGTTCTGTTGGCAGCGAAACACAGAGAGTATATTTGAACTATCAAGTCAAAAGGTTTTCATTGTGACTGTGATTTTAAAGCACTCAACAACCTGGCACCTCCCTATCTCTCTGACCTGCTCACTCCCTGTGTACCCACGTGCACGTTGAGGTCGGCTGACCTCCTGCTGCTGTGCGCACCCCGGATGTGATACAAATCACGGGGTGAACGAGCATTTGTGCATGCTGCCCCAAAGCTGTGGAACTCGCTGCCCACTGGAGTTCGGCGGGCTCCGTCACTGGCGGTTTTTAAATCTCGTTTAAAGACCCACTTTATGATTTGGCTTTTAGACAGTGACTCGTTTTAGTGTTTTATTGTGTTATTGTTTTAATGTGTTCTTAGTATTTCTCATGTTTTTCTGGTATTTTTATCTTCTGTTTTAGTTCCTTAGATTGGTCGTGTTTTGTTTTAGCCTGTGCAGCGCTTTGGGCAGCCTCCATGCTGCGTTTTAAACGTGGTATATAAATAACCTATGGTATGGCATGGTATGGGATTACTCTGGAAGTGCTTCCCAATGTAAAGTCAATACAGCATTATACACCATGCATGGTATTTAGAAAACTAGAAGTAACTTTACTTTATACTCTATAACTGTTCACAGCATTGTGCAACTGGGGAAAAAAACATTTACAAATTATATAAACTCCCTTTGGCTCAGTAAACCTTACTGCAGTAGTTATGAAACAGAAAATACTGAAAATACTTTAAAACAGATGTGCTGAAAATCGATCATGGACACTCCTGTCTGCCACAATTTCATCTAGATCACAGCGAACGTCAGCTCTGTCAATGCACCAAGGGAAATATCTCCCTGAATCTATCCTCTGCAGGACTCTGGGTGCATCTGTGGCTGCTGGCAGGGTCATTTGGGTATGTAGATACCGGGTCAATACACCTTCCACCTTCAGGAAGACAAAAACTCCTCAACTGGATTTAGGAATGGCGAGTAGGTAGGAAGATACTCCACAAGCGTCCTGTCGTGTGCAGCCAACCACTGCCCGACCACAGCCGAGTGTATGCTTACTACTTACTTTGTCAGATTGTCACCAGGAGCGTTTGGTTGTAACTAATAGTTCACACACACCTTTTCATTATTGTAAGATAAGGTTCACCTGAGAAAAGTTATTTACGGGCATTTTCATGGAAACACAATAAAAATATTTAGAAAATTGACGTACAAAATGTTTGACAACTTGTTGAACAATTTAGTTTCACGCAAGCAATGAAATTAAGTCATTAGTTGCATGAACAATGACTATTCAGCCTGTAAAAGTGTTGTTCGTTTTGACAGACATGATAAAAGCAAGTGAAAAGTGATCATTTTGCAGATAATTGTACTTACTCAGTTGCTTCATGTCCAAAAGCTTATGCTATTGGATGAAATGAACATGATACTGCCACTAGGTTGTGCTTAAACGATTACATGTTGTGGAGGTTGCACTAACTGTTGTGCAAAGTTTAATTCTGTTGTGAGAAATGCACCAAAGTGACTGAGAAAAACTGTAAAGTGAGACTAGGCGGTTTTGGCTTGCTTTTAGCGCCCCCTATAATGTCCGTTTGTAGAACCAAAACGAATACTTATCTCCTCACTGTGCCGTCGCCTTTTTGGCAGGGATGGGAATTGTGGCACCAACAAGTCATCTCCAAGCTGTATTTTTGTTCTGCTTAGCAACTGAACCAGGTTCATTCTCTGTGCTGATTTAAAATCATCTGGTTTAGTTGCTGAGCTGAAGAAAAACACGGCATGGAGATGACTTGCTGATGCCACAATTCACATCTCTGCTTTTTAGCGCATTAATCTAACAGCTGAAATGTCTCCCAGTCTTCCTTAGCGTCTACAGGAGCAGTTCATCACCAAATTAAACAAATCAGCTGTGTTCATGATCTAAAACATGCAGGAATGTGCTAGAACCAGACTGCAGTGCCAGATGTCAGTTTAATTTTTTCTAAGTCCAACAGACTGGACTGGTAACTCTGAAGTTGCAAGTGGAATATTCTTTGAGTGTTTTCAGTTATACTTTTACATTTTTTGCATCTTAAACCTTTGATGCATGAATTATGAAATCTTCAACCATGATTTTTTTCATCCATCTTTAGGTGTGAATAAAACAAATTTCAACAAATATTTTTTGTAACATTTAATAATTTACAAATGATTTATTACATGTCCACCTCAGTGGACAGCGTGCGTTCTGAACATGAAATATATTGGCTTTACTTACTGAAGTCCAAACGGAGGGGCTCAGATGCAATAAAGTATTCAACAGCTGTGCTTAATAGCAAAAATAAATAACGATTTTGAGTAACTGTCCACTGTAGTGACCATTATGCATCAAAGGGTTAGATGTGTGTGGAAAAAGGTGCATGTGTGTGTGTGTGTGTGTGTGTGTGTGTGTGTGTGTGTGTGTGTGTGTGTGTGTGAGAGAGAGAGAGAGAGAGAGAGTGTGTGTGTGTGTGTGTGTGTGTGTGTGTGTGTGTGTGTGTGTGTGTGTGTGTGTGTGTGTGTGTGTGTGTGTGTGTGTGTGTGTGTGTGTGTGTGTGTGTGTGAGGAAGTCACAAGGGGTGTTATCCCTTTGGGACTCGAGGAACTCACCACTTCCTGTACTGTGGCAGCACCCTTAGCGCGAAGTCGAAGAGTCTCTCTTCCGTTCACCAACTTTCCCTCGTTGGACTTTGGCACCCTTGTCCTCATTCCAATCATGTCTGATCCCACACACAGAAGGATAATCATTAATCAAATGAAATCATTTGTTTGGTAAGCAGCAATGACATTGTTTCTTCATAGAATGCAGCTATGTGCTTTTGGAATGACTCTTCCTTTTTAAATTAACCTCTGTTTCTTTTCACTTGTGCCCTTTCTTTGTTTGTTCTTCCCAAGAATCAGTGATGCTTACTGCACATCGCAGTTATCTAAAGAATGCTGCAGAAAACACTCCATCATCAGCCCATATTTGGATTTTTACAGCTGTTTTCACTTTAGTTGTCTGACACCATCAGAGCTAAAGATGGCTTTTTAACAAAAAAATCCTTTTGGGATTAGAATGTCGTTGCAGTAGCTCAGGAGGTAGAGCAGGTTGTCCAGTAATCGTAAGGTTGAAGGTTTGATCCCGATTCTGAGCAGAGAGTTCTGCTGTTGTGTCCTTGGGCAAGACTCTTAACCCACCTTGCCTGCTGGTGGTGGTCGGAGGGACCGGTGGTGCCTGTACTCAGCAGGCTTCGCCTCTGTCAGTGCGCCTCAGAGCAGCTGTGGCTACATCGTAGCTCATCCCCACCAGCAAGTGAATGTGTGTGTGAAGGGGTGTGTGACTGATTGTGTTGTGAAGTGCCTTGGGGGGGTTGTAGAACCCTAAGAAGGTGCTATAGAAATACAGACCTTTTATCATTTTTATAAAAAATGTCAAGCAAGAATTTACCAGTAGATCTGCCATCACCCTCACAAACAGCAACAAGCTCAACAGGACTTTCTTATCAGAAGGATGCATCAAAGTAAACAGCCAGTGATGACTGCTGCATCCTCATCAGCTTGATGATTATCTGAGGAACATTTTTTAAACCCACAAAAAATTGAATTTCTTGAATTTGAATGTCTTTAAAGGGGAGGTCAGAGGTCAGCATCAGTTGTGTCACACAGAATTTGGGACTGATACTTAAGTGTATTACAGTTCCTTGCATAATATCACCCATTTGCATTCATGACCATGATGGAAACTATAAAATCTTGAAGACCATCAAGGTCAGAATCACATGCAAGCAAATGATTCAACCACATAAACACAAAATGAGGTGCAAAGCAGAGTTATACGCCTTATTTTCTACACCGATTCTAAACCAGATGTGTTATTAGTTCAGTGGGTGTGATGTTTGAGTTTGGATTTTCAGAAACTGTCAAAATTGTAGATGCAAGCTGATGCACAGCTCTCTCACCAAGGCTGAACTGTTTTAATTAGAACTTTATTTTACCAGGTGAAAGACTGAGATGCTCAATCTCATTAGCAAGAGGGACCTGGTCTAGGAAGGCAGCATGAAAACAATACACAAAATCCCACATTACAACAAAAGCACAGAGACAAAACAGCAGCACTAACAGAGAATAGCAGTTTCCTTGCCTAACTTATTGAGCAAAGTTTCTGTTTCAGCATTTTGGTCAGGTTTCCTATATGTGATGGAAATGAAAGGTTCTGATCAATTTTTATGCCCAAGTATTTATATGATGCAACCATTTCAAAAGGAACCCTATGAACATTTGAAATAATTGGAAGGTTGGCTGTGATTTTCTCACCATTAGAGAGTAACAAGCATTTTAATTTTTCTGCATTCAGCACTGATTTTACATTGATTAAATGAGACTAGCCACTGTAAAGTTAAATGTCGATTTCACTCATATTTTTAATGCATTTGCAGGGGACTCTACTAGAAATGAATGCCTTGTAAGTTGTACTCAGGGAGGGAATAAAAGCTCCGCTCTGCTTGTTTGAGGATGGAGAAATCAGCTGGAGAACGTGGCAGAACACGGCAGGATTTGAAGTTTTATTTCCTTGATAGCGTGGTACCACTGCTTTATACTGTGGTGCAAATTCCCAAATGTGCATTTAAGTTGTCCTTGTGACAATTTCTTGTGAACAAAATTCTGCAGAAACCCAAAGTGCAGATTCTAACTGGCAGCAAGCTTAAAACAATATGTACACAGCCCATAAGCTCAGTCACAATGTTCCTGTTTACTGTCCATTGGAATCGTTTTGTTTCTGGAAATGGGAGCTGGAGACATGAGTCTCTGGAGGCTAATGGAGATACAGATCAGACGCAGGAAGTCAGACACTTGACCATAAATGTGGTTTCCTGTCTGATAAGAAAGCACTTGGTTCAGAAGAGGAAATTTCATTCTGCTTTGCATATCCTAAACACAGCGAAGACTCTCATTGTCCTGCTGACAGCCTTTCTCAGGGTGAGAAATAAAAGCAAAGCCATGAACCGGAATATCCATTTGTTCGGTCGGCCCACAGTCAGAACTGGTCTGTGTGAACAAATGTTGACAAGAATTGTTCCAGAGGGAGGCACAAAGAAGTGGATGTCCACTAATTAATAAACTACTGTTGAAATGTTTGATTTTTATCATCGTATTGATTAAATTAAGTGTTCTATTAAGCAGTTAAGTAGCAGGTTTTATCAGTTTTACTCGCAACTATTGCCATATCAATATTTTATTACATCCTTAAAAATTATATGAAGAGCCCTGCAATGGACTGGAAACCTGTGCAGGGTGTACCCCGCCTGTTTGCCCGAAAACCGCTGCATAGGCAACAGCGCCCCGCAACACTGTGTGGATAAGCGGGTTAAGAAAATGAATGGATACTGTATAAACAGATTAATGAGCCATACAATGTCCTCACTGTTTCTTCATGCCAGATAATATCTGTCTGTCTATCTATCTATCTATCTATCTATCTATCTATCTATCTATCTATCTATCTATCTATCTATCTATCTATCTATCTATCTATCTATCTATCTATCTATCTATCTATCTATCAATCTATCTATCTATCTATCTATCATCTATCTATCTATCTATCTATCTATCTATCTATCTATCTATCTATCTTTCTATCTATCTATCTATCATCTATCTGTCTGTCTGTCTGTCTGTCTCCATATGAGACTTTAACACGGTACTGTGTGTCTGATGACAGCAAAACTGAAACTTATTGCAATATTTTTTCAGTGATATTATATCGATATTCAAAAGCTGTGTATCTCATTTTTGGAAGAATTTACCTGCAAACGTTTGTGCACTTTCTTTTCCTTTGGTGCAATTCAAACACCACCCACTAGTTGGCAGCAGTGTACAATGGGTTTATTTTCCACCATTGAAATGTAAATCCCTCTGTTATGGATCAGATTGTCATGATCATGCCCTGACCTCTGTGTTTTCCTGTCTCTCTGCAGCAGCAGTCATCTGGCTGATTAATTTCACCTGTGGTGCTCCCTATTTAAGCACCTGGCTCCTGCTACTCAGTGCGAGATCGTCTGCTGCCCTGTCACAGTCCTTCGAGCGTTCTAACCTGTCTGCCTGCCCGTATATCACTGACCTCTGCCTGCCTAACCACTGAGCCCGTCTGCCTGTTGCCCGACCTCAGTCTGTCTGACCACGGAACCCGTCTATTGCCTCAGCTCCATCCTGAATCTGAGCACTCACCTTCATCAGCATTCCTCACCAGTGAGCACCGCTGCTGTTTTCAGAAGGTCACGCCACCCAGAACTGACTCCAGCTGGTCCTGATCACTTTAACAAGTCCTCTTTAAATCTTTCTCTGTGTTTGGCTGTTGTTGGATCCGGCTGATCGTCACTAGGTCCGACCGTGACAGTATGATCTCGCCATTTAGCATGGATCCGCAGCCAAGCACCAAATGGTGTACCAAGGCAGAGGGTTCTATCACGGCTCCGGAGCGCAGCGTTCATGAAATTGTTGAGGGAATGGCTAACCATAAATCCATTCACTCCTCCAGCAGCACCGCTGAGTCTTCTCCCAGAGGACTTCCGGTTGACCCCATCCGAGAGCCCAAGTTACCACCTCCTGAGCGGTTTGCCGGAGACTCTAAACAATGTGGCGGTACAAGATGGCGCCTGTGCTTGGCTTAGCCGCAGTTACCAGCCACTTTTTCAAACTTTTATCCACTAACCTCCTCTTTTCCACCTTGCTCCTGTCTGCGATCCTCTTCAGTAGTGTCCCTGTTACCATCTCCTATGATCGCCAGACTCTTTTGTCCTTCCGTTACGAGTCAAGGTCTCTCGCAGACGTCCGGCAGGACTGCTCCATCCACTCCTTATTCCCCGAAAACCTTGGTCTCATATCTCGATTGATTTCGTCACGGGGCTACCAGAATCTCAAGGTAACATCGTCTTGATCGATTTTCCAAGATGGTTCATTTGGTTCCACTTGCCAGGCTACCCACCGCTTCCAGGTTGGCAGAGGTTATGTCACAAGAGGTTTTCCGACTACACGGCTTGCCCAGCAATATTGTGTCAGACAGAGGGCCACAGTTTGTCTCCAGTTTCTGGAGGGAGTACTGTGCGCTATTGGGCATCGATGTCAGCTTGTCCTCAGGATTTCATCCCCAGACAGATGGTCAAACCGAACGTATGAACCAGGAGGTGGAGACCAAGCTACAAATCCTCTGCAAGGTTGATCTTCACAGATGGTCACAGAACTTACCCTGGGTGGAACTTGCCATCAACGGGTTACCATCTAGTGCCACAGGTATGTCCCCTTTCCATGTGGTCTATGGCTTTCAACCTCCTGTCTTCTCACTTCATCAGAGGGAGGCCCAGGTCCCTGCGGCTCACGTCTCAGCATGACGCTGCCTGAGAGTTTGGCGACAGGCTAGGGTGGCTCTCTGTAAAACTTCGGCCACCTACATCCGTAATGCCAACCGCCGACGTACCCAGGGTCCCAGACACCTGGTGGGGCAAAAGGTTTGGCTGGCCGCCAAGGACCTGCCCCTCATGGTGGTCAACAAGAAGCTGGCTCCCAGGTTCATCGGTCCGTTTCCCATCACCAAGATCATCAATCCAGTGGCTGTCCGGCTCCGTCTGCCCTCGGCTTTTAAGGTACACCCCTCCTTCCACGTCTGTAATCTGAAGCCCGTTGTTTCGTCCAGGTTGTGCCCACAGTCCAGACCCCCCCCCCCCCCCCCTCCCGCCTGTCTCATTTATGGGGCACCTGCCTTCACTGTGCGTCGTCTGCTCCATTCCAGGAGGTGGTGTTGGGGGCTTCAGTACCTGGTGGACTGGCGGGGCTTTGGCCCGGATAAGCGGTCCTGGGTCTCGTCCTCCAGGATCCTGGATAGGGCCTTGATCGGGGAGTTTCATTGTCTTCACCCCGATCAGCCCGGACGGTCATCTGGAGCCTCCCATTGAAGGGGGGGCCATGTCATGATTATGCCCTGACCTCTGTGTTTTCCTGTCTCTCTGCAGCAGCAGTCATCTGGCTGATTAATTTCACCTGTGCTGCTCCCTATTTAAGCACCTGGCTCCTGCTACTCAGTGCGAGATCGTCTGCTGCCCTGTCACAGTCCTTCGAGCGTTTGAACCTGTCTGCCTGCCTGTTTATTATTGACCTCAGTCTGCCTAACCACTGAGCCCGTCTGCCTGTTGCCCGACCTCAGTCTGTCTGACCACGGAACCCGTCTATTGCCTCAGCTCCATCCTGAATCTGAGCACTCACCTTCATCAGCATTCCTCACCAGTGAGCACCGCTGCTGTTTTCAGAAGGCCACGCCACCCAGAACTGACTCCAGCGGGTCCCGATCACTTTAACAAGTCCTTTAATAAACTCTTTAAATCCTTCTCTGTGTTTGGCTGTTGTTGGATCCGGCTGATCGTCACTAGGTCTGACCGTGACATAGATACCTCATGTTACACATGTTAATTATCAGTTTTGGACTGTTTATTAAATATTTCTACAATGAAATAAAGTTTAAAAAAATCCCTAATGACATATGGCTGAATGTATTGCAATATATCGTGACACATTGTATCGTCTCCCCTGTATCATGATACGTGCCAGAATTTCACCAGTACACACCCCTGATAATTTTATTTCAAACTTTAATGAACCTGTGAAAATTAAGTCTGAAATTGTAACCACTGTTTAAATCATTTCATTGAAATAACAAATCAAACTCAGATTATAGGCTGTTGTTGTCCCCAAAGAGCCCCTTCCCTTTTGAGCATCATTACTCATGTTATTGTCCATGTACTGAAGGGTTTACTGTAGCTGCTGGGATCAACAACCTTTAAAACGTTATTGGGAGGCAGCCAGTAACGCTTAAACCAATCCTCTCCTCTCATCCTGTTTGCTTTAGTATGCATGGGTAATTTCCTGGTTCCCAACACTAAACACTCAGTTAACACTCATTTCATCATTTGATCAGGAAGTGATTTAGACACGGTCATGATGTTAATGTTATTTCTGGTCCAAATGTGTACAAAAGTTATGAACCTTGTATGTAGATGAAACCACTGTGGTCAGACTAAGCTGTGGGGAGGATGAGATGGTCCACGGAGCAGAAGTATAGACACTGACTCTGGTTCTCAAAAAACAACCTCATCATGAATGTCCATAAGACTACAGAACATACAGGTGCTGGCCAGTAAATTAGAATATCATCAAAAGGTTGAAAATATTTCAGTAATTCCATTCAAAACGTGAAACTTGTACATTATATTCATGCAATGCACACAGACCAATGTATTTCCAATGTTCATTACATTTAAATTTGATATTCATAAGTGACAACTAATGAAAACTCCAAATTTGGTATCTCAAAAAATTAGAATATTCTGAAAAGGCTGAATATAGAAGACACCTGCTGCCACTCTAATCAGCTGATTTACTCAAAACACCTGCAAAGGCCTTTAAAAGGTCCCTCAGTCTTGTTTTGAAGGCACCACAATCATGGGGAAGACTTCTGACTTAACAGCTGTCCAAAAGACAATCATTGACACCTTGCACAAGGAGGGCAAGACACAAAAGGTGATTGCTAAAGAAGCTGGCTGTTCGCAGAGCTCTGTGTCCAAGCACATTAACAGACAGGCGAAGGGACGGAAAAAATGTGGTAGAAAAAAGTGTACAAGCTCTAGGGATAACCGCACCCTGCAGAGAATTGTGACGACAAACCCATTCAAAAATGTGGGGGAGATCCACAAAGAGTGGACTGCAGCTGGAGTCAGCGCTTCAAGAACCACCACGAGGAGACTCATGAAAGACATGGGATTCAGGTGTCGCATTCCGTGTGTCAAGCCACTCTTGAACAAGAAACAGCGCAAGAAGCGTCTCGCCTGGGCCAAGGACAAAAAGGACTGGACTGATGCTGAGTGGTCCAAAGTTATGTTTTCTGATGAAAGCAAGTTCTGCATTTCCTTTGGAAATCAAGGACCCAGAGTCTGGAGGAAGAGCGGAGAAGCACAGAATCCACGTTGCATGAGGTCCAGTGTAAAGTTTCCACCGTCAGTGATGGTGTGGGGTGCCATGTCATCTGCCGGTGTTGGCCCACTCTGTTTCCTGAGGTCCAGGGTCAATGCAGCCGTCTACCAGGAAGTTTTAGAGCACTTCATGCTTCCTGCTGCTGACCAACTTTATGGGGATGCAGACTTCACCTTTCAACAGGACTTGGCACCTGCACACAGTGCCAAAACCACCAGCACCTGGTTCAAGGACCATGGTATCCCTGTCCTTGATTGGCCCGCAAACTCGCCTGACCTTAACCCCATAGAAAATCTATGGGGTATTGTGAAGCGGAGGATGCAATACGCTAGACCCAACAATGCAGAGGAGCTGAAGACGACTATCAGAGCAACCTGGGCTCTCATAACACCTGAGCAGTGCCACAGACTGATCGAGTCCATGCCACGCCGCATTACTGCAGTTATTGAGGCAAAAGGAGCCCCGACTAAGTATTGAGTGCTATACATGCACATTCTTTTCATGTTCATTCTTTTCAGTTGGCCAACATTAGAGAAACAAACATTTTTTCATTGGCCTTTAGAATATTCTAATTTTCTGAGATACCAGATTTGATGTTTTCATTGGTTGTCACCTATAAATATCAAAATTAAACGTAATAAACATTGGAAATACATTGGTCTGTGTGCATTGCATGAATATAATGTACAAGTTTCACGTTTTGAATGGAATTACTGAAATATTTTCAACCTTTTGATGATATTCTAATTTACTGGCCAGCACCTGTATAGCACTTCAGGAAAAGCCAGAGGGACCACACACCCCTTATCAACAGAGAACAGGTGGAAACTGTTACCAACACACCTTTCCGCAGACCTCAACATCGAGACTCTGATTACGAGGACTCAGCTATGCTTCCTCTCTGTCCTCAGAAAGAACAATCTGGACACAAAGCTGCTGCTGCTGGCTCTCTGCCACTCCTCTGTGGAGAGTCTACTGACATAGTATCTGTTTGTGTGGTGCTCTCTGTCCACCACAGAGCTGCAGCCTCAGGAGAACCAGGACCATGACCATGACCCACAAGCTGCAGGCCAGTCAGGTCAAAGCGCCAGACTGACCAGCAGCTTCTTCCCCAGGGCTATCAAAACTGCTAACACTTCGGACACGCATGCACGCACGCACGCACACACACACACACACAAACATCATATATACCAAGTATTGTTTCTCTTTGTTTTGTTTTTGTCTGATTTCATGCCCGTGGTTTAATCTTTGCTGTGCACAATTGCTTAGTCGGGAAACCCTTAATTTCATTGTTCCTCCAGGTATCATGACTATAAAGGACGATTATATTCTTATTAGCTTTGAAGTAGTTTTCACTTCTGATGAATCATATTCATTATAATTCTTAACTCACCAAAGGCCTTTTTGGGCTCCACAAGGCGTAGAGTGAATGGGATCCCCCTCTGCTGCTCTTTCAGCATCTTTGCCACCTCATAGTGTCGACATCCAACAATGCTCTGGTCGTTAATGGCCTCAATGTGGTCACCAACGCACACAGTCTTCAGCCGGTCTATGGTGCTGCCTTCTTTTATTCTCTGGAGGACAGAAAGTAGCATTTGCCCTCATCAATTTAGGAGACACGGATTTGTCAGTTTGGACGGTCTGCTCCATGTCAAAAACGCCACCTTTTACTCACCTTAATGAAAGCGTATCCAGCTCCATTGTCTGTGATGGTGAGACCTAAAGCGTCTTCTGTCTTTGTCACCTCCACTTCTTTTGTCTCTCCTCTGATATGAGCAAAGATGAAGTCCTCCAGTCCGATCTGTCCCCCCAGCAGCTTCTGCATGTCCACTTTATGAGAATTCAGGGTGCAAAACAGGATCTGAGGGGAAAACATTGACCAAAAGCTGCAGATGTAAAAATACCATAAACATTGATGCATGTTACTAACAATTTAGTAAATTACTGATTGTATCAAGATTATTCAAAAAACGATTTTGTTGTTGCTGGTAAATGTTGTAACATAGGAATATGGTAAATGACTAATATTAAAGGATGATTTGTTTGTCATGACATTGGAAATCCATTCATTTAGCAACATTTAAAGTTCTGCACTACAGACATTGTACAGTAGAGGGCAGTAGACCCAAACTAATAGCTTTATTTTATTTTATTTTTTTCCACAGGCTGAAGTTCAGTCTAACTGCAGAAAAAATGTATTTTATTTAAAATTTGAATGTTAAGACTTACAAATTAGAAGTTTTAGTTACACAGTGGATTCTAAAATGTGAGAATCTTTTTCTCAAGCATCTAGAAGTCTATGAGTGTGTCTACATCTCAAGAACAAACGGATGCATTTGAATCCCTTTTAACGTTCTCATCTCACCTAAACACTAACAACAACAAAGATTATCAGTCTCCAACTTCAAGGTCAATTACATTTCATAATCCATCAAGAAAATCCATGATAACTCTTATCTTAAGTGAGACTTTATCTGACTAGAGTCCAAGGTCGCCTCCTGCAGCTGACGGTACAGTAACCATGCTGCTGCCCCTTCAGGTCAAGGAAACTGCTGCACTTTTCAGCAGTCATACGAAATCACCTGAATACTCATGTAAGTGTCTAGATATCTGCATGCAGGTCAAGGTCCTTTAGAAAACTGGTTGAGTAACCTGGATCTCTGTTCAGCTTATATTTTAGTTAACTGCATTATTAAATTATTTATTGTTTTATGGGAAATCCAAATGGCCTCTAAATAAAAGCAAGACTGAAAGTGTTAGTCTTCCCTTCTGTATGACTGAACTTAAAGGTGCAACATTTAATAATGAAGAAAGGATATCATATTTGGGTACTGCAGTCCATTTTTCTAAACAAAAAGTCACATTCTCACTCCGTTCCATGAGTTTCATGGCTGTTCCCAGTTACTGGTGAGCATCAAAAGATTCTAGATGATGGGCGAAGACGAGTCATACACAGTTAGTCGACAAGTAGATAAATAAGTTGTCATATCTGGTGTTAGCACTCTTGAGTGTTTAATGGTAGGGAGCACTTACTACACTTATTACGGTAGAATGCCTCTAACATTAGAGGAGTTTGCCATCTTGCTGTTAGCTTGCTGTACAATTATCCAGACTTGTTTCTCTGTGATTTAAGCCAAACAAGTAAAACCTAGGGATGTAGATATTACTACTTTTGATCATCGAACACATTTTTGGGCAGATGATCAAAAAGTTATATCTGGTGTTTAGCGCAAAACTTCAAGATCTGTTTGAAGTAGCTAATGGGCTGTAGAGGACGACGGTCCTCAAAATTGGTCGCTAGTTCAGGAGTATCTACAATAACTTGATAAACATGCCTGGACTTCACACTGTTGAAGCAACAAAGGTGTAACTGGATCTCTTCTACATTGTACAGGTTAATGTTGAAGGATCGCCGTGACACCGTTTGTCTTTGGCGACGAACAGGTGCTCTGTTTATTCTGAAGATCACCATAAACATAAACAGAATAAACAACATTAGAGGCTGGGAAGACCTCAGGAGGGACAAATACATAAATAAATAACTTTTATACACTTGACATTGTTGACAAGCTCAGTAAACACAAAACAAATGACTGCCTGCTCCAATTACAGAACACATTTTGTGTAATTATATAAAATAAATAGTTACAAGGCCATACAAGTCATTAGAAGGCTATAACTTGTTTGTGTCTGGATATGTGAGGAAAATACATGACTTTTTAGTGCTGTCACGAGACTTAGGCTTCCACAATATGGATGGATCATCCACTAGAACTCTCTTCATGGCTGTTAACCAATGCCTTCAGTGTATTTATCAGCTGGAAGCCTTTAAAATTTTACATTACGGTCCTTATTTTGCCTATTTGTGCAGCCTAAAGCACTGCATGCATTAACCATGGTGATAGATTAGATCAGGGGTTGGGAACCTTTTTGGCTGAGAGCCATGAAAGCCAAATATTTTGAAATGTATTTCCTTGAGAGCCATATATGTTTATTTTTTTTCTTCCTTAAACACTGAATACAACTAAATGCGTGCAATTTGAAATAAGACCAACATTTTCTCATTACCTCTAGCTCATTGATGCCAAAAGTGCCCTTTTTCCTCACTTAAGTATGAAAAGGGGGTTTTACCTTTTCTGTCTGCAGATCCCAATGCGGCGTAAAACTGACGCGATGGGATGTCCGCAGCCGGGGCACCAAACAAGCTCATTGTACCGCACCCGAACCTTATCCTCTTGTTATTTAACCTTCCCCTCAAACCCCCCTTTTTGTGCATAAGTGGCGAAAAAGGGCACTTTTGGCATCAGGGGTTTGGCGCAGAGGGTGGCTGACCAAGCGTCTGTTTTTGACGTGCTGGGAGTGAGAATGTGTTGCTTAAACAGGTGAGGTAGAAAATGGATGGATGTTAAAATGCACGAGAAAGTTTTTTATGTTTAACACTGTGGTTTCTGTGAATTATCTGAAAGACATGTGCAGTCATCAAAAGAGCCACAGGCGGCTCGCGACCCATAGGTTCCCTACCCCTGGATTAGATAGACCCACTTGTAAACCAGATGGTTCATCTCGAGTGGTTTATCCTCTTAAAATATAAGTTAATAAATAAATAAAATAAAAATATTGCCACAATTTAGCTCAGTTTATTGAAGCTGGGGACATGGATTTAGGCGCATGACATCACATGTCAAGGGGTCTATAGTTCTGAATGACCCATTAAAGGTGTGAAACACTGGGGGGAAAAAGCAGTTTTTAAGAAATATTTCTGATCTTAATAACTTACTGAGTTTTTCATGCAGGCTGAACATGAAAATAGTCTCCTACACCTATTTCCTGCTTTAGCTTCTGCTGGAAAATAGACGGTGAAATGCTAGGATTAGAAAAGCCTGACAGTTCTACATCACAGTCACTTAACATTAATGGAGTCACCCATCTTGACTCACTTTGGGGAAAGCTGTTGTTTGTTTAATATCCAGGAAACAGCAGAAAACATCTAAGCTAGCAGAAGCTAACCATTAGCGTTAGCAACTCCACCACAAAGCAGAATTTTTTCAGGCTTGTGTTATTTGTGGAAATAGTGGTCAGTGGTAGTGTCACATTGTTGCTACCCAGTCTTAGAAAATATGTCAAAATATCAGGAAATAAGAGTGCAAATGTGTTTGTTTGCTGAGGATTGCTGTAAAGACACTGACACTAGTCAGTGACTCGATGATATTTGCTGGGTTCCTTATTAAAGAATCTTTTTACAGATTGGCTTAATGAACTGAACTGTATTGGAATGTTTTCTATGTGAAGTGACAGATGACTCTTGTGATTTGGTGCTATATAAATAAACAGAAAAGAATTGTCATCTGATGCTTTTCTCTGATGTGGCTCCCTTCTACTTCCTGAAGCAGGCGCATGTGGCTTTTTCTTCCCTAGAGTACGACTTACAAGGCATTCATACTAAAGAACACTGCAAATGTATTGATTAAACAAGTGTTTCACATTTTTAAAGGAAGAAAATGTCGCAATTAACTCATTATTCACGTCACACATTTCACTATTTTTTCAATTTGTTGGTTATTGAAAAAGTAGTTAGAGATATTTTTTAGAGCAGACTATTTACTTTTATTTCGTCGTTAGCATTGTTAGCTCAACTTTAGCCTCTAGGCTGCTTCACTAGAGTAAAACGAAAGGATGCCGTGGCTTCTTAGGGGTACAAGAAATAACATCTCTCCCATTTACTGGCTTTAGTTCTTCAAACAGCCCAGGAGCTTTTTTCCTGCCGGTGTCAAATTACAAACGCCAGCACTGCAGCATTAGCTTAGCGCAGACTTGGCAATCCCAGATAGCAAAAATCATTTGGCCCGGAGCCTACATAACATCTGGGCCGGATCCGCAAAACGAACCAGGGCCGGTGTGCTTTGCACACGGGGCCAAAACCAGTGCAAATCCGTTTTTCTGAATCGGGGCCAAAACTGGACCGGCACTGGCTCGGATGAAGATCCTTACTATGTGAGCCGGCCCCACTCTGGCCCAGATCTGGACCACATCTAGCCTGACTCAGGCCCAGGTCTGTTCCTGCCATAGGTTCACGGTAAACAGCTACTGCATCCCTCTTTAGCTTTTTATTTTGAAGGGATAAAACTTGCCAGCTGAGAAGGAAATCTGTTTCAACTATCGGTTTCAAAGCAGCCTTCCTTCAGTCATGATTGAGAAACTGATTTGTGATTGTTTCTCTGCAAAATTCTTACATATTGTTCCTTTTATCTGTCCACCAATAATAAATGCTGATATGACCAGCTTTTGCTCGATCTGTTGTAACTTCTGGTTATCTTTGCTCGCAGTACGTGTGTACTCTGTACTGAACATCAAGCAATTAGGACGAAGCTGATAGAAAGGTTTCACAGAATGTGAACAACCATTTCTAGCTGAAGTTTTTGTTCACACTGGGGAAAAAAAAAGCTCCTGGGAGTAACACTGCTCAAGTAAATTTTGAGAAACAAAGCCATGAGGTGGCAGATTTATATGTATTTTTTGATGCAAGTACTTATTTTTTACTATTATTTACTAAAATCATCACTATTATAACAGCTTGTCATGCAAGAAAAAGAAGTGAATCAAACACGTTTCCTTCTTTACAAGATGTTCATACACACAGATAGGAAAAGCCTTCATATTGGCCTTCAGAAGTGGTAAGTGTCTGATAAGCCTTTTGCTGTCGACAGAAATACCAATCTTTAGCTTACTGAGTGAAAAGAAGATAACTGTCCAAACATCAACAAGGTTCACCTCCAGTTCTTCGATCCCTACAGGTTTCTGTGAGTAAATCACAGGAAAGGTTCGGTTTAGCAGTCTGAATAAAATCAGGCTGCAGGTTTTTCCACCTGGTCAGATCTTGTTTTTAAAGGCTCTAGTCTTGTGAGCAGCTGCTTGCTGCCACCTGATCATACACAATAGCTCAGATCCTCTTAATAGTTTTACTATTTCCTTTAAACCACAAACCAGAACATGAAACCTGAACTAGCCTTCAATAAGAACAGACTAAAAACTGAACATAATCTATTGTTGTGTTTTTGTCTTGAGTTGAGGTCAGATCCAATTGTTTTTACCTGCGTAGAAAACCTTATCTATTTAGTTGTTTCCGTTACGGATCAATGACTGGAGGGGTTCAAAGTCTGACAGATGATAGTAAATGCAAACTATCATCAGTGGTTCCTCGTGGAAACAAACCTGAAGTGGAAACTCAACAACTGACAGGAATACAGGAATGACAAAGAACCAGATCATTTTATATTGTGAGGAGTCTTGGTGAGTGTTGATTTTATGTTACCTCTGACGGGGAGATGTTGAACACTTCTGCAATCTTGGCATACAGCTCCTTGACGTTGGTGAATCCATGGATGCGGCCTGTTGAGCTCCCATGAGCCAGCTGGGTGTGGAAAATGAGCCTAGGCCTCGGGTATTCCGGTGGCCCTGCTGGTGGCGGTGAAGGGGGAGGAAGCGGAGGCGCTGTAGGCTCTGCACACCCCTGACTCTGGTTCCGGGACTCAACCCCTGCTGCCTTGGAGTCCTGTGGGCTCATAACCTCATCGTTCTGCATCAGTCCCAGCTCAGGTTTGGTCCTCCTCTGAGAGCCCTGCTGTTTGATCTGCTCGGATAGAAAAATGAAATACTGTCCTTCCCTCTTGCTTAGCTGATTGAACACCCAACTAACCGCCCAAAACTCTTGACTGAAGAAAGCAGATAAATTAGTGATGAGCGTAATTTGGTACCAGTCGCTGAAAGAGGACAGCCAGGCCCTGCCAGGTGGAAACCCAACACCCGTTAAGTTTAGGATTGTGTGTTACACCTGAGCCTTTTGTGGCTCACGGAGAGAGAACACAAATAAAGCACCAGGTGCAAGTTTTTTTCATACCTGACATCATCCAACCTCTAATCCTCCATATCAGGAGAGCTGCATGACATGTCCCACACACACACACACACATAACCCTGAATGTGTGAAAAGCTCTGTAATGTATGGAAATGTTCAGCAAGTCTGCAAAGGGACTCCTACACCAGGGAGCCACGGACAATGTCCCAGTGTTCCCGGTAAGATGATCTGACCGGGTAGGCAGTGAGATGTGGCCGTCTGCTGGCCTTGCTGAAAGAAAACGGTTGTTGTTGGGCCAAATGATTGGTGATGTGCTGACCTTTTACCCTGAGCTAAAAAACACACAACATGATGGCACACACACGCAAACACTCAAAATGGTACTGCTTGGATCACATCAGCTTTGGCTTACATCACTGAAATGTTTTGGGGAACAAAAATGAAAACTGGAGAAGCTAAAGCAGACAAAAGGCAGAGATGAGCCCAAGGGAGGGGAGGGTTTCCTCTCATCATCAACACATCAGTTGTTGCCTTGTTTTAAAAGCACCGAACCCCCCCCCCCCCCCCCCCCAAAATCTGATGACATTAAACATTCCTGTCACAGTAGTTGTTTGTCCTTCACATGTTTATGTCACCCCATGTGATCCACAGCCCTTGCACATGAGTGGAATTTCCATGTCAGGACAGGAAACAGCAACACTAATTCTGCCATTTCAACGTGAAATTTCCTCAAAAATCCAATTTTAAACCTGCCAGCTGGGAATGTGTCATCGATCTTTCTGTGGCTCACATTTCAAATCCCAGCATCACACATTTTCAGTGTTAAATGATTTTGTATACTTTAAACATAGATTGTGTTGACCGATGCGCTGATTTAGCCATCGTGTGCAATCAAGGATAAACGTGTGCTGTGTTTTTAAAGGTGTGGAACACTTGTTTAATCAATGTATTTGCTGTGGTCTCAAGTAGAAAATAATACCTTTCAGTATATATTGAGCTAAACGAACACTCAGTTTGTGTGCACCAGTAGTACAAACTGTGTTGTTCTTTTTCTACTTGCTTTATAAGCATAATCATGCATCTGTGATACAAAGGGGCATGAATGCAGCTGTGTGTGCATCACAGGTGCAAAGGAGTCGCTCGTCCACCAAGATTCTCTAAGCAAACCATGCACCTTCTTTTTCTCCTTAATCTTTACCTTACATAAATTAAACAAGGTCAAAGCAGCATCAGCTCATGTGTTATCTCCACACTGCTGTTTCATTCTGAAACAGTGTTTACAGCCTCAGACATTTTCTGTGGTCAAAGCTGACATAATCCTGAAGGCATAAGAAGTCATTTTTGACATTCTGACCAGATCAAGACAAAACAAAGAGAATTTAGTTTATAGAAGTCTCTGAAAGTGTGAAAACCATTGAGTAACACATATCAGCACTAATTGATAGCTGTAACTTATTCCTGAAGTTTTAAGTTTATAGCAAGCAGTGTGTTATCAGTAGATTCCTACAATGAAGCTAAAAAGGGTGTGATGACAGCAGATAAATGAAAGAGAATAAAAGTATTTCTGGTGTTTGTAAAAGCTTACATCAAATATCTCGTTGCTATAAGCATTTCTTCTTATCGAAGTCATTTACAAATATTGACAAGGCTATGGTTGAATGAATGTGGTTCAGTCTGTCAATATTAGCAGAAAATGTGGCCTTACAGGACATCGCTTTGCATAAAAATGATGGTTGACACTATTTGAATTGCACATCCTGCAGTAGGAGTATTGTAGAATTAGCCGTTTGAAGCCCCAGTGTTGCTATTTCTTAATGTGTCATGTAGTCTAAAAAATGCATTGGAAACATTTAACCTACATCGGAGCAAAAATATCCCTAAAATCTTAATGCTTGCTGTCATTTAGGTATTTGATGTGTTTTTGGATTATTGAAGCAAATGTAATATTGGAAACTTTCTGTAATGGTTTTCAGATTTTTAGTGACACAACATTTACATTTACCATACACACATTATACATCAACCTCTTCAGCTTCTCCGCTCTCTAAAAATTTCAAAACATCACAGATCGAAGGTAAAGGTTTTGAAACATTTTAGTTTATTTGGCACAACTTGTGAAGTAGAAATGTGTAGGTTTATTTCTGCTGTGAAATTGGTATTTTTAACATGGGGGTCAATGAGGATTTGCTCGCTTCTGACACCAGCTCCCAGCGGATGAGGGTGGAACTGCAATTTTTGTTACTTCCTGTTTTGCTTCATTTCCAGACCCGAATTATGAGCGCTTGGTAGTGAACCTACGCTGTCCTCACAGCACATATGTGAAGCTGGACAGCTAACAAACCAATAAAACCAAATAAGAATGTTCACACAAGGCAGACTTTTCTTATCTGAAGATCTATACAAAGGTTTTATCACCATAGCTGCAATGTAAAGAAAAAGAAAAATCGCATACCAACTAGTACACACATCTTAGCATCACTGGTAGGTAGTGTGATTCATTCAGCTGCTGTTGAGACAAAATAAATGTGGCATGTTTCATCTTACTAACCTAAATTTAAGTAGTTGTCATTTTACACAGAAAAGGTTTAATTGAATATCCACTTTTTTGAGCTTTTTAATATGTAATATAGTTGTTTCTTCAAGAAAAATAACACCAAAACATGTTTTGGCTGCATTCATGCATTTTCCTCTTTCAGCTGCAATTTTTCAATTTTATTCTGAATTTCCTGAAACGGCTTAATGTATAAATTGTAGGTCACTCCAACTTCCTGCTCCCAACATCAGGCCTCCCCAGAAGCTAGCCTCTGGTCTGAAACCTGTCCCCCCTGGCCAGCTTAGGATATGTAGCATATGTGACAAATGACATGTAATAGACTTTTAGTCTAGTGGTGAGTGCGCTCAGGCAGATACCTTAACCACTGGTCTACTGAGCCAATATATAACCAACTTGCCTAAAACGCTGTTTTAGCCACATTTTGTCAGAGTGAACATGGGTGGGGTTTCACTGAAACAAAGCGTTTTATTTCTGGGTGTAAATTCAGGCTGACAAAAATTACTCGTATTTAAGATTGATTACATTTCAATAATGCCAACAGTAATATTTTATCATATCCTGTGTCTACCTTTGTTCTCAAAGGTTGAAATGTAAGCATGATAAAAGAACTGTGATGTTAACCTAAAATGTTTTAGTTTTCTTTTTTTATAGGAGAGGGACAACGCGTATGTTGTTTTTTATCTTTAGTGGAAATTAGGAGTCAGAGAATATTGGTATGTCAGATATCAGTAAAAAAAAAAAAAAAGCCTAAATTGAGCATCCCCTTTGTAAAAGTTAGTATTTGTGGCCTCATCCACCTTGGCCTGTGATCATGAAAGGCTGTGTTGGTTTATCGGCCAAGAGAGGAATTACAGGGTAAGTCACACCCTGGGTGGAGTCTTAAGCCTGATTTATACTTCTCCATCTGAGTCGGTGCGGTGACACGCCACACCATTAAGCATCAGCGCAAGAGCTCTCCGACAGGCTCACATGGGGTGACGGAGACATGCCCAAAATTTTAAACATCCGTCGAAAGGGACAGAGACCACAAGCTTGTGATTGGCCAGGACATCGCTTCCTGTAAATTTGTCACCAGCACCGCCGATGCCCTGTTAAAAAAAGATATTTAGCTGCAGACCCAGAACAGATTGAACAACGCATCCCAGAAAAAGTCTGAAAATATGAACGTTTATTCACTCATGACTGAAGGAGTACAAAATATGGAGCAAACAACGACGGAAATGACAGGAAACGTGGGTTTAAAGGTGGCGACCGCATGAAGAGGTGAAGGAGCATGAAAGACAGATTAGTCCGTGTTAAAAAGTCTCTGAAATATATAAACACATTAGTAAATACACTATCGTGGACCGGATACATGAGTGTTATGGCGGCAGGATACCACAAAAAAGCGCTATAACCCCTGTTGTCCTGGCAGGGGAATTACTTTGCATGTGTTGCATGTGAGTTTGCAGCGGAGACTCTGCCAGTGTTTACTGGCCTGCAGCGCAACTCACTAGTAAACCGTTCCTCTGTCGTTAGGGTGTCTGCTGATGCCTCCAGTGTGGAGTAGGGGTTAGACGTTCATCTATACAGTTTATCAGTAAAAAAAAAGTTGATTTAGATGTTACTTGTATTTTAAGTATAGCAACTCTACAACATGACAGAACATGTTCAAGCTTGAGTTATTTGTAGAGATAAAACATCAGAAAGAAGAGCAAATGGAGGCAGCAGAAGAGTTGTGTTCCAGTCAGCCAATCAGGGGCCAGATGTTTGCATATCATGAATACAAATGAGTTAAACTCCACCCCACCCCCACTCCTCTCACTAACTTCAACTCCCTGAAACAGGAGGGTTTTTACCCACAAAAAATGACTCAGTAGTAGGGCTGGGCAATATGGCCTAAAATCAATGTCGCGATATATTGAGGATTTCACCTCGATAACGATAAATGGACGATAACTACAGGTATGTGCGGGCACAAGAGTTGTGCACTAGATGGGGCTGTCGCATGTATTACGTTGAGTCACATTTTTACGTGACTCAAGGTGGTACAGCTTCTTAAAGGGACATGAACGTTGCCAACCTACACACATCTTTTCATTTTTCAATTATCAAATTTGTTGAAATGGGAAAATTTTTCTCGATAAGAGTCACAAATTTTGATAACAATAAATTTTCTATTTATTGTCCAGCCCTACTCAGTAGGCATTCCTTTGTATGAGAAACTACATCAAACATATTCAAAGTACAAGTGTATGCCTACTGCACACTTATGATTAAGTCAATCACAACCAGCCAACGCACACTATGGGGTTTTGAGTGTATATTATGGTGGGTGGGTATGCTTTTTTTGCATGACAAGAGAGCCCATTTTTGCTCACGCTTCATCTACGCCGCTTCATTAAATTACATACTTCCCCATAAGGTGCCATATCCTTTTTGGTAACTGCTTCGCTTCCTGGCATTGAGGGCGGTGGGGAAGGCCATCGGCTGGCTTGTGCAGGCCAGATTGTGAGAGGGTGGTGTGTTTTTGCAACAATACAATGCCTCTTATGTTCCTGTTGGCATGGTGGCGCCTGCACTGCCTGATGAGGAAGAAGAAATGGCTCTCACTGCTGATATTTGAGTGTTGCTGGGTTTTTAAATTTTGTTCAACAGAAAATTGTGTTTTATCAGAATTTTTCATCACTACCTCACCAACAGGCCACAGTACATAAAGATGCACAACTGTACATCTGAGGTGGTTGTGTGTGGTGCTGGAGCTCCACAGTGTATGATGCTCCCTCCTTTTCTCTTCACCTTCTACACCTCGGATTTCCTCTATCACCAGCAGCTGTCACTTCCAGAAGTTCTCTGATGATAGTGTCGGGGGGAATGACCAGGAATACAGGTCAGTCATCATGGACTTTGTGGACTGGTGTGAGCGAAACCACCTTCGCTTGAACACCAGTAAAACAAAGGAAATGTCACTTGACTTCCACAGAAAGACTCCTCCTCACTCACCGGTAAACTTCCAGGGACATTGAGGTGGTAGATACCTGGGTGTTCACCTCAACAGTGAACTGAACTGGTCCAACAACACAGATGCTCTGTATAAGAAGGGCCAAAGTTTTCTCCACCTCCTGAGGAGGCTGAGGTCCTTCTGAGGTAATTCCTATCTACTAAAATCCTTTAATCACTCTGTAGTTGGATCTGTTATCCACTCTGCTGTGGTCTGTTGGGGTGCAGGCAGCTCTGACCGATACAGGAAGAGACTGAACCAGCTAGTTAACAAAGCTAGCTCGGTTCTGGGCTGCCCACTGAATTCAGTTGAGGAGATGTTGGAAAGGAGGATGTTGGGGAAGATGACCTCCATCTTATAAAAACCCTCCCACCCACTGCAGTCCACTGTGGAGACCATGGACAGCTCCTTCAGTGGCAGACTGAGACATCCCAGATGTAAAACAGAACGCTACCGTAGGTCATTCATTCCCTCTGCAGTAAGACTGGCACAGGAGTTAAGTGCTCGCCCCGTAATCGGAAGGTTGCAGGTTCCAGCCCCGCTCAGACTGTCGCTGTTGTTGAGTCCTTGGGCAAGACACTTAACCCACCTTGCCTGCTGGTGGTGGTCAGAGGGACCGGTGGCGCCTGTGCTCGGCAGCCTCGCCCCTGTCACTGCGCCCCAGGGCAGCTGTGGCTACATCGTAGCTCATCCCCACCAGTGTGTGAATGAGTGTGTGAATGGGTGAATGACTGATTGTGTTGTAAAGCATCTTGAGGGGTTCCATGACTCTAGAAGGCGCTATATAAAATACAGGTCGTTTACCATTTCTCATTTTAAGCTCCTCTGGAAGATCGACGAGAAGGCCATCGTGAGAATAAAGCACTTCATGAAGGAGAGGTGAGCAGGGTTATCCTGTTACACAATAACATCAATGCAATACTCAGTATGTGTTCAACTTGTGCAATACCAGATTTACATAGTATGTCTGTGTCCCTTACAGTATGCTGCATAGTGTTGGAACCCAAGTTTTTGATTTTTTTTATTCATGGCTTTTAGTGGTCGAAGGTTACAATACTGTCTATGATTACATTTGTTAATATGTGTCTTAAAATTATTCTCTTGTTTGTGCTTCTGTAACAAATGAATTCACCCACTGTGAGATCAATAAAGTCTATTCTATTCTATTATGGTTTTATTAATAAAAACTGGGATATTCAGGGGGGAAATGTGGGCAGATTGTATTAAAAATCCTTTTCAAGGCATCCATTTTGTTATTTTCACTTTTTATGAAGGGGCATCACCACAACACTTCAAGACAAGGGTGAAAGTTCAGAGTCACCTAATGAAAGGACTAATTCACACTTCCCACAGTTACGTCAGATAGCTGCTGTGTCAGCTAAAGCAAACACATAAGACTATTTAAATTTATGTTTACCAACAACTTGTTTATTAGAAAAGACAAAATTGTCCCAAAAATACAAACAGTTATTTAGTGTGATTAACACGTGACTTGGCAGACAGCTCAACATTTGGTCTTACAGCCTTGGTCTCATGACTGTAAAACAGGTGAGACTCATTCCCATCCGTTATTGGCTTTCACACAAAAAAGGAGGGAGCTAACATCAATAGAAACATTTCATGGCTTGGTGTTGTTCAAACATAGTTTTTTAAACAAATTATGCCCCTTCGTAGGAATATGTTTCCTTACTGTCTCATAATACATCATGAAATCATATCAGTATATTTTATATGTAGAACTTTTATTTGTCTTTTAGCACATGTATCTGTTAAAACGTGTTTTAATGAATTACTCATTCATACACCCACATATACAGAGGATTAAAACCAGTCCCTGCATAAAATCAACTGGGACTTGCCCACTCACCATATAAGGTTATGGGCGGTCGGTTTAAAACCAACTACCTCATTCTGATTGGATAACGCGTCTGATATGACCATTTTCCTCAGGGTTTTCTCGATTCTGATTGGTCGTCTGACTTGGTCCGATTTAAGATCATTATCCTAATCAGCCGCGTATGAAGTCGGGAAAAGGAAGAAATAAGGAGAAGCCAAACGAGGACGGTGGAGTCTGGCGTGGGGAGTCGTTTCAATAGGAATCGACCACCGCTACCCGAGGGAAGAATGCTTGAAAATAAAAGAGAGAGATTGAAAACCTTCCTCAGGAAGATCGACGAGAAGGCCATCGTGAGAATAAAGCACTTCATGAAGGAGAGGTGAGCGGAGTGAACGTTGCTAGCTTGAACCGCTATCCACCGCCGGCTGGAGTGCGTCACCCTGGGTGGATGCCACCGCGTTTTGTTTGTTTGCCAGCGAGAGTCTGTGCCAACATATTATTGTGGTTGTAGTATTTAGCGATGATTTGTAGTTCAACACATTCGGGAGAAATTTATTATACGGAGTTGAGCTAGTGCTACAAACCGCTAGCATGCTAACCATCCGCCTGGGAGAGGATGTGATGCTATTTAAATTCATTTGAGATCATCTAGTTTCATTCAGTTCAGTAAACTCCCAGATATACAAGTAGAAATGTAACTGTGTAATATAAATGTATAAAATACACATATCTGGCTAATAGAGTCAACGTTTTATGTGCTGAATATTTATAATACCACTAGTCAACCAATACTGTTAGTGATTCATACGTGCTTTATGCATTAAAAGACCTGACCCCATTTATTTTTAGACAGGCTTAGAAACCTTCTAATGTTTTTCATTCATAAATAATAATTATTCGATGATGGAATGCTTGTGTGACGGTACGGACTAGTTCATGTCATTTTGATTCATAGTGATTGACCCACATTAGTCATAAATTGAGTTGTTTGTATTTACAGTTGTAGTTGGGTCATCCAGTGAGTGTAAATAAGCAGAATTGGGAGTGGAAAACTGACGTAAAGTAAAGCTGATCCAGATTTGGGTCGCTTCTTTAATCTTGCTTGGAGAAATCATGACTTCACCCACCTGGCCATGTGGATCGGATTGGTAACATTTATTCTTCCATCATGTGTCTGATCTACCCAAGTGTGCAAGTGTCCCGTATACAACTATCTTACTTGTGTTCTCTTTCTAAACACACTCCGTACTACCTCCAGATGAGTACATTTACGTTTCTCAGAATATAAGTCTATTTTGGGGCCTCACGAGTTGTCCACAGGTGGTCTGGGTGTTAAATAAATGCAGTCAGTTCTTTATGTCCGCTACATTTTACCTTTAACATTCCAACCCATAGATGGACATCTGCAGGAGTGAAAGAGCTCTGCCAATCAGAAGTGGTCTGCTGGTTATCAGAGCACTTGTGTGTCTGCAGTATGGTATGGTGGGTGATTATCAGTTGCAACAGCGTGCACACACACACATGTAGCCATACAAGGCTTTGGGGGACTTGATCATTTCACCTTTTGTTTTTATCTTTTCTATACGTAAGCTAAAATATCTGACTGTTGGAAATTACTAAAACAGTTTGGTAGTGAGTACAAAGCAAGCTTTAACAAGGAACATCTGCTGGCTAGCATTGTAAATAGCTTTGTTTACAGGCCTGCACATCATGCTGGCAGGAAAAATATGAATATGATGGTAATAAGGAATGAACCCAGTGCAGCTGCAAATCTTGAGGAAATGCAGGATCCTGGAATAGATTGGGTGTGGCTGCTTTGGCTCGAGGAAGATGCTCCCAGGACGGAGCTTCGGTAGCGCTGTGGCTTGTGTAGGTCTTAATTATAATTTGTGTGCTGGGCACAGAGAGAAAACATACGCTAAGGGCAGAAAGCCTCATCTGCAGGACTGTCTGTCTCTTAATGACAGGCTACCTAGCTGCTCTTGGCTGCAGTTATGCATAGGCTGTGTCCAACTGGCTCTAATGACTACTCTTCTGCCCTTACACAGCCAAGAAAAGGGCTATATTCTTCTTGGCGGCTTCACCTTTAGATACTCACAGCAGCCTGCTGAATTCCACCTAAAGTGGCTGCAGAGGTCGGTCTAATTTCAAGCACAGCTTTGTTTGGGCTAATAGGAGATGGTGATTATAGCTTCTCTTGATTTTGAAAATGGCACAAAAACTGCATGCTCATGAGACAACAGAAATGAATCTCATATCAGAAGCTACAAGAGCCTTAGTGTTAGCTTCTCGTTGATGCCTGAATATGTTTGAACTGTTTAATTTGGACTTCCTTCCTGGAACAGATAATCTCATATTTCTGTGTCCAAAATGAATTCAGAATATGTATTTCTTTCCTTTTAATACAATTCACTCATTTTATTTCTCTTTTTTTTTGTCAAACACTTTGCCTAACAAAGCATGTGTGTGAGTGGGAAAATGTATCTGATTTAAAGGACAGCTCAGGAGCTAGAGCAGGTTGTCCAGTAATTAAAAGGTTGTAGGTTCGATCCCGGCTCCCACCAGAGAATTGTGCTGTTGTGTCCTTGGGCAAGACACTTAATCCACCTTGCCTGTTGGTAGTGGTCGGAGGGACCGGTGGCGCCTGTCTATGGCAGGCCACGCCTCAGTGCAGCTCATCACCACTAACGTGTGAATAGGTGAATGACTGTGTTGTGAAGTGCCTTGGGGGGGTTGTAGAATCGTAGAAGGCCGTACAAATACAGGCTATTTACCATACGTGCACTGTCTGAAACTGTTTTGTGTGGAAAATGTAGTTTAAGTAAAGCCAAGTTTGCCTGTCAACCGTATTGACTTTATCCTTTTATTTATATTCTCCCTAATTTGTATAAAAATCCCTTTTTAAGTTACTCCTCATAGGTAAAAGATTTTAGACTTTTTTTAGATTAATTCTTGAAGTTTCTAACCACATCATACATTTTCACCCAAGACTACAGTAACTTCTAAGAAAGCCCATCTCTGTTGGTTACTGATGAAGCTTAGGGCACAGGCCGTGTGACTTCCTGTTCCAAAACACAGCCCCACTTAATCCACACACACACACACACACACACACACACACACACACACACACACGTGACAAACATGCGCACAGTTTCCCCTGTATGGAGCTTTGGCAGGGTGCCATAGAACACTGTTTTGCTGTGTCATCTACATCTCTCTGCTGTGAACAAACATTAACTGTAGTTGTTCAATATGTTTGGGGCTTCTTGGGATTAATTTATTTCTTTTCCTGTCTTTGATTAGTGCTTCATGTATTCTTTCCATTATTTGTTTGGTTCAAATTGGGTTTTTATCTGTAGCCCAAAAGGTTCAAAACAAAGCATTCAATACTGTGTATAGATGAGAACTACAAAAAGAAAAATTTTCAGGTTTTGTTTTTGGGGGAGGGATAGCACAGAAGTGCATGAGATGTCCGTTTAGTGTCAAATTCTTCATTTCCGAACCTCCTTAAAATGACTACATTAAAGCAACACTGGGGAGTTTCCTGCCCCTCCACCCTACTGGTTGAAATTTGAATCACAGCTGTTATAAACAACACTGCTGCAGCTAGCACCAACAATCTAACCACAAAATAAAAAGATCCACACTGTTGGACAAAAATACAGGTCCAGTAGCAACAAAGTCAGGTCACCATCAGTTTGTGATTTTGTAGCCTCCTTTACCTCCCTCAAACTAGTGTAACTGATGTTCACTCTGGTTTTATCTCTGCTTTGCCTCCAAAGACATTACTCTCTGACTTTTACATCCAGACTCTGCCATGATGCCAACAGAAAAAGCAAACTTATTTTTTCTTCTTCCTGTGCTGTTAGTTGATGATCAGGGAACTGAAAATGCTAACTGCTAGCATAAAAGCTAACAGCCATTAAGCAGGTAAAGAGCTCCCCCTATAGAGCACCTACCCACTCCACAAAATCGTTAAGTGCTGTATCTGGTAGCAGAGGGCTGCAGAGTGGTGTCAAATATGACACTGGTCAAGTTTCTATCTCAACAGTCACTGAGATCACGGTTAAAGCTCAAGGTTAAAGTAAAAAATATTTAGTGTTTCGATGGTTTCTACTTATTTATTGACTGTCCAGTAGGTGGCGCCACGACTCCTTGTGATTATTCTGTTTCAAGGATTTAGAGCTTGAGGAAGCCTTGCATGTGAATCTGGGGTTGGTGTTGCTGTGACAGCCGCAGCTCTGGTCATAGGAGAGAGTTCTGCTTAGAGGTAATTTTGTCTGCAGAGTGCAAAGTACAGCAGAGCAGCTGACGGGTCTGACGTCTGTAGCAGGACTACTGGGATCATTTGTCTCAGCTCGGAACACAACATTAAGATCTCTTTATCCCCAGGAGGGTTTTTTGTAGTTCCTTTCTTTTGTTTGTGTGTTTTGCTGACGGGAATTTCCGGTGCACGATAAATCACCCTTTCTGCTTCAGAGTCCTTTAGTCTAATTTAGTCACATTCAGTATAATATTTCTTCAGTCAATTATTACGTCCCCGGCTCTCTAGGAGAGATGATGAGGGGAGTAATAAAATTAGTGTGGAGGTTAAACAATAAGAGTGCTGTGTCGCTTAACAAACAAGGATTTTATTACAAAAGTGAATGGAATATGTACAAAGAATTAAAAAGCAATACTATATACAAAAACAAAAGGAGCTATATTTAAAAGGGTGATAACGAAAAGCGCCAACCCAGAAGGGGATGGGGAGAAAACAGAGAATAATATACCATATATTTCCAAAAGGGGAGATCCTTAAGTCCAAATGCTGGTCCGAAGTCAAATTACCAAATAGTCAAATCCTAAATCCAAAATCCAAATCCAAAAGCCGTGAGCACCAAAGTCTAAATATAACGAGTTTTTCCAAAAGCGCGAACGAGAAGAGAATAGCCCAAACTGTTCCCAGTCTGCACTATCCTTGATCATCTCCCTGAATGAGGGCAAGAGGGCAGCTTTTAACAGCTGATCCATGATTATGAATGATCACAAACACCTGTTCACCAGGAGACAGGAGAAGCAGAATGCTGCTGAGGCCATCCTGGGGCCAAAAGGGGGCGCTGCACGTAACCTTATTTTTAACATTTCTATTGTGTTTTCTTCTTGAACAAGTTAAAAAATGTAACGTGTTATTTTAAACATTGTCCCAGTTTTATTGGTTCATAAAATAAAGGAAAACAAGTGTTCGTTTCATTTTTACTTTGGCCTGTCAGTGATTGGTTAATCAATGGTCCCTTAATCAAATACAGTGTAACAGCATTTATCTCCCTACTGAGGTTATGAACTTTATATTTAGGTCAAAATATGCGTGTATCTACAGCTCTGATCTACCTAAGAACTGTAACCAGGATAATGTCTGTGATTTAATTGCTGCTGAATCCATTTCCAAGCCATAGTTCCCAGTGTTCTTCCTGCAGCTTGTCAGCTGTTTCCAATAGAAACGTGGCAGGTGGTGTAAGTAGGTGATGCATCATGCATGATGACTAAAGTAGGACTAATGTCACAGGTACCGTTGGACTCTATCTTGTTGATGTCATGTGGAAATCAGCTATTGATGAGAAGTGACTCCTAACACAAGTTTGCACAACCAGTTGACTGTTTGTGTTGCTTTTGTCCTATCGACTTGTTTCTGACCTTCCAAGTGTCTCTGTTCTCTCATTGACATGCTTTACAGAGACCAAGATAACTATTGTCAAGGATTTACTGCTTTTAAAACCATTTCCATGTCTTAGTTAGAATGGGGTTTTTAAAAACCTGTTTCCTTCAACCCCCACATCTCAACCTACTACCTCCTACAGTTGAATGTTTCCACAACACAGCTAAAGCTGAAAGCATGGAGGCTGGGGGAGTACTTTGGGTTAAAATCAAACCATTTTCATTTGGGTATTGTTTTGCGGTGGCTTTATCTTTAAGCTCTGCTTGGAAACGCTTTCAACGCTTGCAGTAAAACCGACCTTTACTCCCAATTCAACAGGCAACTAAGGAAATAAGAGCAAAAGGTTGAGATACTCTTGTCATTCATCTGCGTTTCTGTCGGGGTGATCACACACCTTTTGGGATTGTGGAAGACGACAATTGGGAATTTAGTTATTTATGGAGAACGATAATTTTTTGCCAAACCAACTTGATGCTTTGGACGATGAGGATTTTTGTGTGGATCCAAGAAGGTAGGATGACCTTATGTTGGTCAGATCTACCTGCACTTTTGAAATCTGATACGACAAAGTTGTTCACTAAACTTTAGGAGTTCTCATTTATTTAATATCCATCCATCCATCCATCCATTTTCATCCGCTTATCCAGAGTCGGGTCGCGGGGGCAGTAGCCAAAGGCGAGAGGCCCACACTTCCCTCTCCCCAGCCACTTGGGCTAGCTCCTCCAGGGGAATCCCAAGGCGTTCCCTGGCCAGGTGGAGAGACATAGTCCCACCACCATGTCCTGTGTCTACCTTTAGGTCTCCTCCCGGTTGGACGGGCCTGGAAAACCTCACCAGAGAGGCGTCTAGGAGGCATCCTGACCAGATGCTTGAGCCATCTCAACTGCCTCCTCTCGATGTGGGGGAGCAGCGGGTCTACTCCGAGCCCCTCCCGAATGACCGAGGTTCTCACCCTATCTCTAAGGGAGAGCCCAGCCACTCTTCGGAGAAAACTCATTTCGGCCACTTGTGTTCGCGATCTCATTCTTTCTGTCACTACCCAAAGCTCATGACCATAGGTGAGGGTAGAAATGTAGATCGACCGGTAAATTGAGAGCTTCGCCTTCTGACTCAGCTCTCTCTTCACCACGACAGACCGGTACAACGCCTGCATCACTGCAGATGCAGCACCAATCTGCCTATCGATCTCACGCTCCAGTTTTCCCTCACTCGTGAACAAGACCCAGAGATACTTAAACTCCTCTACTTGGGCAGGACCTCATCCCTGACCAGGAGAAGCGCCCCGAGGGACGCGGTCAAACGCCTTCTCCAAATACACAAAACATATGTAGAATGGTTGGGTAAATTCCTACACACCCTCCAGGATCCCCCTAAGGGTATAGAGCTGGTCCAGTGTTCCACGGCCAGGACGAAAACCACATTGCTCCTCCTGAATCTGAAATTCAACAGTCCGACAGACCCTCCTCTCCAGAACCCCTGAATAGACCTTACCAGGAAGGCTCAGGAGTGTGATCCCCCTGTAGTTGGAACATACCCTGCTGTCCCCCTTTTTAAATAAAGGGACCACCACCCCGGTCTGCCAGTCCAGTGGGACTGCCCCGATTTCCACGCGATATTGCAGAGCCGCGTCAGCCAACACAGCCCCACAACATCCAGAGCCTTAAGGTACTCCGGGCGGATCTCATCCACCCCGGGAGCCTTGCCACAGAGAAGCTTTTTAACCACCTCAGTGACCTCCGCACCAGAGATTTGAAAGTCCTACCCAAAGTCTCCAGACTCTGCTTCCTCACTGGAAGACGTGTCGGTGGGGTTGAGGAGGTCTTCGAAGTATTCTGCCCACTGATCCATAACGTCCTGAATAGAGGTCAGTAGCACACCGTCCCCACTATAGATAGTGTTGGTAGGGCACTGCCCCAACCCCCCCCCCCCCCCCCCCCCCCCCCCCCCCCCGAGGCGGACCATAATCTCCTCAAAGCCGTATGGAAGTCTTGCTCCATGGTCTCACCGAACTCCTCCCATGCCCGGATTTTTGCCTTGGCGACCTCCCGAGCCGCTTTCCGCCTGTACTGCCGGTACCCGTCAGCTGCCTCTGGAGTCCCACAGGCCAAAAAGACCTGATGGGACTCATTCTTCAGCTTGACAGCATCCCTAACCGCCGGTGTCCACCAGCGGATTCGGGGGTTGCCACCACGACAGGCACAGACGGTCCTGCGACCACAGCTCCGGTCGGCCGCCTCAACAATGGAGGCACGGAACAGGATCCATTCAGACTCATCCCCCACCCCCCACCCCCGAACATTTTGGAAGTTTTGTCGGAGGTGGGAATTGAAGCTTCTTCTGACAGGAGACTCTGCCAGACGTTCCCAGCAGACCCGCGCGATACGTTTGGCCCTGCCTGGTCTGACAGGTTCCAGAGCCATGCCTTGAGGTGAGTCCGACTATATCTAGTCGGAACCTCTCAACCTCACATAAACCATTTTATTTAATAAAGATTTGTTTTTGTTTTTAGTTTAGTTAGTTAAGTAATCTGTTGGCATCATGAGTGGTGATGCACCGATATGAAATTATTGAGATCACTGTTATGGCCAATAACAGATATTTGCCGATACCAATATACTGACATTAATGCTTCTAAAATCAGCAGATTTTGAATAGAATGAAAATTAAAGCAGAATTTACACTATTATGTACACGCAGCACACACATTTACGGTTCTGAGATGATCTCATTCACTGTTAACCTGACTAAACAATTACACCCCACCCCCACCTTCTGAAACAGGCAAACAAATGGAGACAAGATGGAAAATATATTGGTTGTTAATATCGGTCTGGTTTTATTTATCGAACCAATACCGATATGTTAAATGACTAACATTGGCCGATGCCGATATATTGTCCATCCCTAATCATGAGTGATGTCTTGTTTTGTAAGATAATACTGGAACAAATGGAGATGAGTCCTACTGATGTGCTCTCTCAGGACATGACTTCCTGTAAGGATCACAGGGTTTTGTAGATAACTGAATCAAATTCACAAATTTAGGTGGTGATAATTGGGTTCAAATTGTTTCCTTCCTCTCAATAGTAGTACAACATGGAAGCTTCAACAAGGAAGTAGTTCAGAGGTCAATTCCTCATTGCTAACCATACACGCCTTTTCAGGCCTTTAAATGTGTAATCATTTTAAGGCGCCACTTCTAAAGAGGACGTGGGTCATTTAATTCAATAAATTTTTCTTTATGCTGTCATCTTGTTATGAAATATATTCTTTTCCACTGCTGTCATGCAGCATTCTTGCCTAACATGACTTTAGCTAGCTACAATGACAAATTTGGAAAACATATTGGCGTAAAACATTTTTTCATGCCTCTTTAACAACGTTCTAACATAGCGTTGTCTAAAAACGTCCACCATTAACATGTCTCGGCGCAAAAGTAACTATTGGACCGTCCGATTTTCTGTCTCGCCAAACCGCCGCTCTTCCCTGGGTCCCCTGGGTCCAACGTTTATGATTCGTGTATTTAGCAGAACACCACTGGTGTGAGAGGTTCTCTGCTCAATACCATATTGACCCGAATATAGGACGAATAGGCATCTGGTGTTTAGCATTGCCTTGTTTAGTCCAGCATCATGGGTTTTTGTTTCCGGCAGAAGCGTCTCAGGGTAGATACCCGAGGGAAGGGGCGTGTTTGGTGATTGTGCCCATAACCTAGCTTGTTCTGTAGATTTGCTAAAGCGGCTTTAAACACTTTCATAGCCATGCTGGTTCATTTGGTATTTTCTGCCATGAGATGTACAGTTGTGGTCAGAAGTTTACATACACTTGTAAAAAATATAATATAATGGCTCTACTGAGTGTCCCGTTATTTCTAAAACTCTGATTTTTCTCTGATAGAGTGATTGGAACAGATACTTCTTTGTCACAAAAAACATTCATGAAGTTCGGTTCTTTAATGTCTTTATTATGGGTTAACAGAGAAAAGTGACCACATTTGCTGGGTCACAAATATACATACAGCAGTGCTAATATTTGGTTACATGTCCCTTAGCCATTTTCACTTCAATTAGGCACTTTTGGTAGCCATCCACAAGCTTCTGGCAAGCTTCTGGTTGAATCTTTGACCACTCCTCTTGACAGAATTGGTGAAGTTCAGTTAAATTTGATGGCTTTCTGACATGGACTTGTTTCTTCAGCACTGTCCACATGTTTTCAATGGGGTTTAAGTCAGGACTTTGGGAAGGCCATTCTAAAACCCTTATTCTAGCCTGATTTAGCCATTCCTTTACCACTTTTGATGTGTGTTTGGGGTCATTGTCCTGTTGGAACACCCAACTGCGCCCAAGACCCAACCTTCGTGCTGATGATTTTAGGTTATGTTGAAGAATGTGAAGGTAATCCTCCTCCTTCATTATCCCATTTACTCTCTGTAAAGCACCAGTTCCATTGGCAGCAAAACAGCCCCACAGCACAATATCCCCACCACCATGCTTGACTGTAGGCATGGTGTTCTTGGGGTTAAAGGCCTCACCTTTTCTCCTCCAAACATATTGCTGGGCATTGTGGCCAAAAAGCTCGATTTTCGTTTCGTCTGACCACAGAACTTTCCTCCAGAAGGTCTTATCTTTGTCCATGTGATCAGCAGCAAACTTCAGTCGAGCCTTAAGGTGCCGCTTTTGGAGCAAGGGCTTCCTTCTTGCACGGCAGCCTCTCAGTCCATGGAGATGCAAAACACGTTTGACTGTGGACAATGACACCTGTGTTCCAGCAGCTTCTAATTCTTGGCAGATCTGCTTTTTGGTGATTCTTGGTTCACTCTTTACCCTCCTGACCAATTTTCTCTCAGCAGCAGGTGATAGCTTGCGTTTTCTTCCTGATCTTGGCAGTGATGAAACAGTGCCATGCACCTTATACTTACAAACAATTGTTTGCACTGTTGCTCTTGGGACCTGCAGCTGCTTTGAAATGGCCCCAAGTGACTTTCCTGACTTGTTCAAGTCAATAATTCGCTTTTTCAGATCCATGCTGAGCTCCTTTGACTTACCCATTGTAGCGTTTGTGGGCGTTTGTATCCAATGAGCCCTATTTACCTGGCCTAAGAGAAGTCACCAGCTGTAGTCACTCATAATCACTCACAAGAAGTTAAGAGGCCATGCTATGAAGCTCAGTTCACTGACACGTTTCTAATTCACCAAAATTGCTAGTTCATGTTGCTGTATGTATATTTGTGACCCAGCAAATGTGATCACTTTTCTCTGTTAACCCATAATAAAGACATTAAAGAACCAAACTTCATGAATGTTTTTTGTGACAAAGAAGTATCTGTTCCAATCACTCTCAGAGAAAAGTCCGAGTTTTAGAAATAACGGGACACTCAGTAGAGCCATTATATTATATTTTTTACAAGTGTATGTAAACTTCTGGCCAGAACTGTATAAATTAAAATGAAAGCACTTAGATCTTAGTTAAGCTTGGTATGTGCCACAATCCAGACTTTTCCTATTTGCTGCATCTAATATTTAAAAATGGGAAGATTCACTTAAGAATCAAAAATTAAAACCAGTAAGCAATTATTTACAGATTTAAAAATGTGCATCATGAATATGCAAAAAAGGATTATATCTAGTTATAATTGGGAATGAAAGTACAATTTTTTTCCTGTTCTAAATGTACAAATCTGATTAAATTTAGTATTTAAACCTCTGAATGTCCAGGCATGCAGGACTGGCTTACAGTTTCTCTAATCTATATCAGTATTTTATTTTTTTCTGGTTTGTTTTTCTTTAGAAGATTAGCCAATGAGAACGAAGTAACATGTGTTTGGGGTTTAGAGGTTTGGTGTGACTCATCTGAGGCAGGTAGGCCTGACTGTTGAAAAGAGGAAGTCGTTGAACAGTTTGATGGCATTAAAAACTGCTTTTATTGTCCTTTAAGTGTATTTATTCACACACCAAACTGTTTTTCTTTGCATCCCTTTTTTTCCTGCTGAAACCCCCCCCCCTCACTAGTTCACTTGTTTCAGCGGTTGAGATTACAGGAAGAAGGTAAACGCTGGTGGAGAACTGATTCGTGTTTTTATGTTAAACTTCCTCCTAGAGTTGTGTGACACGGTCATTTTTCCTGCTTTGCTTGTTTAAGCTGTCTCTGCTGACCTGAGATATGAAACGGGTTTCACTCGCACAAAGAAGTCGAGCAGCAAACAAACCAGGAAGTATTTTTGCCCTCAGCTACTTTGAGAAGATTTTAGAAAGGTTCAATTTTAAGCATGAATGAAATATTAATTCTTATCAGTCAGATGGTGGCGAAATAGCAAATGTTTGGTTTTCATTAACAAAAGCTGGTTTTGGCCCAGGTGTTGATGACGGGGGTTCATGTTCTGTTGGATACAGATCGTCCTCTGTGTGTGTGTGTGTTGGTCCATTTCATGCATATTTGGCTGTGGGGGTGTGGCCGAGTGTGATGTCACCCACTACGGAGTGTCACACCACCCTGAACATGCTTCCTCCCCTATCAGATTCAGAAGCAACACAGCAGAAGCTTTTTCTTCCTTCAAGTGTTGAAGAGCCCAATTAGCATGAAAATTTGTTTTGACGCACAATTTTCTAAAGCTGATGGAAAACTGAAACGGGGGAATTTTGATGTTTTTTATCTTTAGGCTGTTTTTTTTTCTGGCCAGGGAGTGAAGCTAAGTAAACAGCAGGAAGGGATTCTGTAACCATCCTAAGTGCAGGAAATGCCTACAGTGTGTAGGTACATGGGCTTTCGTTCATCAAAGAGATTTAAGTTTGGCAGGTAAGTTGGTCAATGTTTAAATTATTTAAATCTGTGACATTCAGTGTCTGACCTGCACCATCAGTTAAAGCTGTCGTGTTTTATGGATCCATGTTGTCATCCAGCTGACGGCTCTCTCAGCCAATCTGTGGTTTGTGCCTCTGGTCAAGGACGAGTGCGGCTATTGACTCAGGAGAATGCTCTTCTTTTACAAGTCTGTTTTTCCACTTCATAAAAACGCCAAGGCTCATCCGTCTTTGAGCTCACAGCAGTTTGGAGAGCTGCCAGGTTAAGCATTTATTAATTTGAGTGTTGACGCAACATGTGTCAATAAAGTTTTTCATTAGGAAAAGGGTGGGCATTTCCAGCACATTTTAAAGATAAGCCCGTCCTGAACTCAGACTGCATCTGCAGTAGAAACAGGTGTTAATGGTTGAAAGTGAAATGTTAAGTTGGGGTTTTGTAGATGTGAGTTAAAGGTTTTGGTAGAGAGTGTTAATATATAAAAACCTTGTGACGGTCAGCAGCTTCATATAGTCTATTTTCATTCTCCTGTGAAATGGGCCTAATGTATTTAAACATATTTAAGAAGGGTGGATGTGCTTATCAGCACATCTTCTCACTTGGTCACCGCCGTAAAAAATGCAGGTAGTCTTGTTCACACGTCCAGGAAACCGACTCCCACAAAGATGGCTGAGTGCTCGTTGCTGGAGGGATCGGTGTCTAATATTTCTGTGTTGTTTTTCTGCCTGTATGCAGCAGCTACCCACTGGAGAGCGGTGGTGGTGGACTCCCGGCCAAAGCCAAGAAGAGCAGGAGCGTTCTGAGCAATGGCTCCGTCAAAAAGGTGGAGGCAAAGAAGGCCTTGAGTTTAGAGGCGGCCCAGATCGAGATCCAGCAGCAGCACAAAACTCTCACCAGACAAGTAGCCATGAGGTAGGACGGCGTACGAAGACACCAGCTGGGTTAGGATCTAGAAATAAGCATTTCCTGCACATAATAAGTTCATTTAATAATATTTCTAATCTTTAACATGGCTGCCAGTTCTCCCTTGCAGTTTGAAACACCCAGAAGCACATAGCTGTAGTAAATATTAGCATCATTTCATAACGTGCATCACAAGACCCAACCTGACTCTCAGCTGTGTAGTCGTGACGCACACACACGACTACACACGCCCCACATGGTTCACATCTCAGACACATTTAGAGCGGATGTCTGAAGTGGAGATGAGAAAACTGGTCGTGTTCAGTTTTACTACGCAACCTTAGCTGATGAGCTGAAACCACCGCAGCTTAAACACCTTCTGTGTTTGACACGACACCATTAAAGCATTATGACCACACAAATGGAGTTCTGAGCTTAAAAGTAATATTGATTGAAAGTAATTTAAAGTGACAGGTGAGGGCTTTTGTCTCAGCAGGTCGGAGACGTTTGATGTGGACAGCAGAAACTTTGAGAGGACGGAGGGCACCGGCACACAGAGTGTGAGTCTCTTAACCTGCCGCAGGTCCATTCATTTCTGCTGTTTATGCTCTAAATTTCAAAGATCCCCCTTCTCTTCTTTCCAGAGCTTCGTTAAACACAACAAGACATTCCACAGATTGTTTCCAGACATTCCTGAGAAAGAAGACTTGATACATGGTAAAAAGCAGGAAGACACTAGAAATAAATACATGTTTCGTATAAAACTAAACTCGATGTGTTCTCTCCAGCTTACGTCTGTGCCCTGCAGAGAGAGGTGCCCTACCACGGCCGGCTGTACATCACTGAAGCCCACGCCTGTTTCTACTCCTCAGTTCTGCTCAAGGACACCAAGGTAGGGCTCCGTCTAGTCCCTGGACCTCCTTGAGCTGCAATCCTTTGTTTGTTTTTGAGAATAAATGTGTTTTTGCAGGTTGTTATTCCGGTCTCCTCCATCCGCACAGTGAAGAAGCAGAATACAGCTTTGCTGGTACCAAACGCCTTTTCCATCCGCACCACAGACGGACAGAAGGTGAGTTTGTTACAGCTGTTTCCCTAAATGTAATGGGATCTTGTGAAACTGAGTTAAAGTTTGATTTTGCTTTGAGTTTCATAAAGGAGGAGAGTGGACTTGTCCTGAGAGTTGTTTTTGTCTTTGTTCAGTACCTCTTTGTGTCTCTGAGGAACCGAGAGTCTTGTTACCAGCTGCTGCGCTCCGTTTGTCCTCAGATAGAGGTAAGTGACTCGGCATAAAAAAGCCACGAGTTCTGACTCAGCGTGTCACTTTACAGATGCTGTTGCATTATTGACTAACGGCTGAGCCTGTGGAAGGATCACAGCCTAGAGCAGGAAGTTTGAGACAAATATTCTAAATAATAACACAACATTGTTTTGTTTACAGGATGGCAGCACAAACAGCAGCCCCATCCTCTCCTCTGGAGGAAACGGCTTTGATAAGAGCAAACTCGTGGTGCGTTACTCTTATTTATTAAACCATTCCAGCATGGTTGCAGTGGGACCATTTAGTTGACTTATCCCTGGAGGTTTCCTCTAATCCGCAGAACTCCAGCCAGTCCAGTTTAGATGCCAGCTTCGACCAGGTGGACACCTCAGTAACTCCGTCCTCGCAGAACCAGCCTCACCAAGGTGAGACTTCAACATGTGGTGATGTTTCTGTTGGGTGGGCTTAAAGTGAACAGCAGCAGAAATGGCTGTCTGATCATGTCTGAACTGTGGCAGTAGAGCAAGGGTTTCATCGGTTTCTCTGGTATCATCCTGCAGAAGCAGTGCCTGATGGAAACGGCTCCACTTTCAGGAGTCTACACCTGCAGCAAAGTGATAGCTCGTCCTCAGAGGAGCTCTCAGAGTCAGGTAAACCCTCTCGCCTGAGCTGCATCTTAACTAACTCCCAAAGTAATCAACCGTGTTTGAGCTGTGCTGACTTTTCCCCTCTCCAGGTGGGTCGTGGGTTTGGAGTGTGACTGAAAAAGCCAAGTCTCTGCTGGTTCAGAGAGAGGCCAGCACCCTCAACACCCTGCTCTTCATTTACTTGATTTTGTAAGTCTGCCTTTCGTCACGACGCTAGTGGATTCTGTCTGCTTCCTCCAGATTTAATCCACAGCCGGAGCTTCCTGTTTGTTAATCTCTTACTCGTAGCCCCACAGAGAGGTTAGGAATGTTCTCAGAACCGTTTACGTAATGTTTTGTAGAGAACAAGGTTACCTATTTTTAAAATGATTATGTTTAACTGACGTTTTTGTTTGAACTAAAGTCTGAAAGGTCTGTGTGTGTGTTTAGGGTTGTGCTGCTGCTGCTGTCTTCAGGTTACATCGGTTTGCGTATTGTGGCTCTTGAAGAACAGCTGACATCACTCGGTGCACTGTCCGAGTTCACCTTACAGAGCGGGTAAGATGCTGAACAAGTTACCAGTCACATCTACTGGCGAATACGTCTACATAGTAGGGGTTGTATTAACTAGTCGACTTCACTGCTCTGTAGTGATTTTTTTATGCCAGTCATCGACTAGTCGCTGTCACGTGATAATGAGCGACAAGATGCAGTCCTCGGAAAAGACAGCAGGTGACGAGTCCCTGCGCGTCGGGAGGCAACGCGCTGTGCCAGAGCGTCGGTACTGACACCCGCCGTAAAACGGACATTTGACCAAATTGTGACGTTTACCCCCTTGCAATTTAACCTTCCCCTCACCCCCATCCTAACCTTAACCAGCGTGCACATGCAAAGCTCTGATCGCTGACGCGCTCCAGACATCTGCGTCCTGAGCACGGCCACAGTAACATCAAATTAGGTGTCGCCACCTCAAAAACAAATTTAACACGCGATCGTTCATGTCTGCTCATTTCCTTTTATGTTATTTGTCTTTTATTTGTGCCTGATGCGTTTCGCTGCTGTGGAGCGGGGCGCATCACCTGTTTTGTCCAATAACTTCACCTCACTGATGCGGTTGGCTAGCACTCCACTGTTTTTGCGGTCGGTAGATCTTTTAGAACTGCAGTTCAAAGGTAACTCATGAGGTGAATATATATGAAGCCAGGTAGCAGTTTTTCTTTAGGAATGAGAGGAGATGCAGGAAGATAATAAACAGACAGGACAGAAAAATAGTCAAATAAAAACAAGTTTGTTTTTGTACCGTCTGGTTGCAACAAACAGACACCACTGAAGGTAATCAGAAGTGAGGAACAGAAAATGAAATAATTATTTTAATGTTTAGAGCAGCAGGAACTCCAAGAGGCTGCAGGCGCACTGCACATGGGGAGGGGGGAGAGAGCTGAAGTGGAGCAGTATATATGCAGAAACTACCGTTGTTAAAAGAAATGTGTTTAACTTTGAAAATGTGGGCGCAATTTTAATTGTCAAAAACTCCAGCGAACACTCCCCCCCCCCCCCCCCCCCCCCCGGCCGCTTCAGGTGTATGACGTCATCAACAACTAGTCAAAGTCAACTCGATTTTCATTACTTGACTGTCGACTTTAAAAAAAAAGAAGTCGTGCAGCCCCTACTACATAGTGCTGCCACCTAGTGGTCAGTTTACCACTCTTCAGTTAGTTTTTCCTCATTCTGCATTTCTCTGACATTTGAGCAGCAACGCTATAAAGGCATCATTGTTTTCACCTAGAGAACGTCTCCAAACTCACCAGGGCTTCCTGGTCCTGCTCTAGACTTTCTGACTCGGCCCGCTGCTGCTGTGCAGACTTTTAAACATTACTATTTGTGCATTAATTACCAAAAGTGATGGTAACTAATCAAAATGGCTAATTAAAGCAGACGTTTTCACACAAATAGACGTTTCACTGTATGATTACCAAGTTCTTGATGTCTGTCTTCAGGACACCATCTTTAACAGTCTCCTTTTCCCCCGGCAGGTATCACAAAGACACATAACCCTCAGCGATGGAAGGAGAAGATCGGTGGACTCGTGATGGGAGAATAATTTCAGCCTCTTGTCAGCAGAACCCAGAGAGAACTTGACTGTCCTCGTCCTCCGATCCCACTTGGAGGAAGAGTGGCAAGCCTGTGCAATATCAGAGATGTCAGCTCTACTTCCTGTTGTAAACAGAAGGACGCGCTGCAGCTTCGTCCTACAGAGCCAAGCCAAAAACCATCCCACGCTGCCTGGTTGCAGCATGTCTGCTGGTAAAACCAAAGCTGAATGGCTCTGTCTCAGCTGGGTGCCACACTAGCCAAGTCCAAGGGCACAAACCTGGTCCACATCTGTGAATTCCAGCTGTCCTCTTCTCCTTGAGCATGCAGTCTGAATAGGGCTATACCAGTCAGCATTAGCCTGCTGTAGTGCTCATTACTGTACCTCCACACTGGAGACGTAGTGCTATGCATAGCCAAAGATGCACATCTATTGCATGAGTGCACGGAGATGACTCTTTAACTCTTCATCTCTGTGCTGAACGTCCAGTCTCGTCTCCGTCTCTACACTCAGAAAGTTTTGGGTACCTTAAATGTTTTTCTAATCAGGTGTGGGTTGAAATGATGACTGAAATTCTGAACACAGATCAGCCCACGGAGGCTTGGTGATCTCCTGATGGTCATACCTGCTCTCTCTCTCTCTCTCTCTGTCAAATCAGTCCTGATTGCAGTATTACATCCCTGTCTTTGGTATGATTTAAATCTGTTTAATGATCAATGGGCACAGGTCATTTTTCTTCCAGTCTCTACTGGATGACTGCATTAATGCACAAACTATTAGCACAGTGGGCGAGGAGGCGTAGACGTGTCTTTCCTGGTCAAGAGTAGATTCTACATCTATCTGGTTTAAACGTTTCTGGTTCTGTGCCGTCTACCTGGAAACATTTCATCCGTCTGTTGGGAGTACCCGTGTTTCCTAATGCATGTGTCTGCAGATTTTGGCTCTTGACTGAACTGGATTTGTATTCTGTCCCTTGTCTTTTAAAGAGTTTATAACCACGTCTGCTGTAAGGTTCAGGCCTTCCAAAGCAGAATGAGTGGTCCTGAAGAGAACATTTCAATATGCAAACCAGTAGTCATGCATGGAAAAGATGTGATCTATATCTGCGTGCTTTTTTAAGTGGAACGTTTAAGTTCATGGGAAAGAAATGGCTTTTAAAGGAAATTAGAAGTGAGAGGAGCAAGCGCACTTTAAACAAAAACAAAACGAGCCGTGCCTGTCAAAGTCCAAAGTGAGTGGTTTGGGTTAGGAAATGGTAAAAGTGGCATTCTGTGGTTTCTGATGGTGCTCAGACTTTTATTTCTGATTGATTTCACTCAGGGTTGGTGGGCACAACCTACCACACGCTTTTAGTGCTTCTCCAGCTTGTCATTTCATCGTCTAATGTTCATGATGGGACTCACGTTTGCACCATGTTACCCCAGTATCCCCTTTAGTGACAAAAAACTTGATTTTTACTGAACTGCATTAAGCTCCTCAGAACGCTGGTTTTACTTTCTTCCCCACTTTTAATTCTTTTATTCACCCAAACTACATTTCAACACCACCGCTGCTGTCTTTGAAGGGGGGATTTAGTGAGTAGACCAACTTTTGCTACGTCCTTTTTCAGGAGAGTCCTTTTAAAATGTTTTTCACACACGAGTCATACCGGTTTGTTATTACAGCCCCCCACCACCAGGGGGCAGCACATGCAGCCACTGTCTTTTATACAACCACCTGAGATGAGGACAGTTTTTGTGTGACTTTGCACTATTCTGAGTATTGTAAATAATTTTGTACCAATTCTAAATGTCTTTAATTCTATTATTGCCCTACATATATATTTATTTGCATTCAGTGTAATTTTAAGTAGTCTCTGGGAGATTGCTTTGCTAATGTTGAAAATAAAACAATGTTTGGAAATGACTGTGTGTCAATCCTTGCTCTATAGTTGGAGGATGATAAATGTGGGTGTTTTAGCTCCATTAAGGTGTTTTAAACCTCTTTGTAACGTGGTGTCAGTTTTTAAGTTCGTTTTCACCCAAAGTAACATCAACCATGAGCATTAGATAACATCTGGGTTGTCATGGACCAGATGTTGTCTTATCTGGACTTAGGCATTAAAACCACGTGCGTTCTGTCATTTGTTTATTCTGTACAGCATTGTGTTTAGGGCTTGTGCTGTTCAGCTGTCCGGGTTGTTGGAAGAGGCCGGTTCTGCACTGGTCTGCCTGTGCGCACAGAGCAGAAACACACCTAAAAAACAAACAAAAGAATTTTTTAATTTCTGAAAAATGGGTTAGGTTTGGCATTTATAAGTGCTGTCAATCAGTATGCATGTCCAGCTGTTCTAATAAAAGCTATATGAGAGGAAGCTGTCCTAAGCCACATGGACTTTGATAAAGAAAATACATAAAATTGCCTGAAAAGATTTTTTTTGTGAACTCCTTTCTCCAAAATGTCCCCCCCCCCCCCCTTTTTAAATTCAAAATGTGAAAAACTTGCACATATGTCAACTGAAACTACATATTGCAATAAAAACCTGCTGCAAAAGCCAAAACAACAGCAACCCAGCCTATGATGTAGGACCAGGAGAAGCGCCAGTCCATGAAGCGTTTGCCAAAGAAAGTCATGGTCACTCCGGTGTAAATGGCCAGAGCCAGGAGAACTAGAAACCCTGAGATAGGAATAAAAAGAACATAACCTTTAGTTAAAACACAGGGACATGGAAATAATTCACACATATCATCTTTAGTGGAAACCAGTTACCTGACAGGACCAGGGCGAGGCCGCCTGTGCGCACCCGTCTGTTCTTGGTGCCGTTAGTGAAGGCGCTCAGGCCCAGAACGATGCCAGCAAAGCAGCTCAGCACTGCCAGCAGCATGAAGGCCCGGGTGGCATCCCAGAAGGCTGGACCCGGAAAGGTAAGAACCACAAACACACTGACTAACACGAAGAACCGGGCCTCACTCAGGCTTAAAGGTCTCACATTCTCAAAGATGTCAAAGGTCACTGCTCAGACGCTCACCCACAGTGATGGTGTGGGCGTGGCATTTGTGGTTGATGCAGAACCTCCAAAGGCCCTGATTGGCAGCGCTGCCTGCGTACCGGTACTGCATCCAGAAATCTGTTGCCGTGGCAACGATGAGAAGCACAAGGGTGGCCACGCCACACAAAGTGCCGCCTCCTGCTAAAGTGTACAGCATGCTGGAGAAGATAGCAGAAATGGGGTCCTCCTAAACATCCAGCAACTTTTATTAGAAAAGGGAGGAGAAAATGTTCAGATGTGAGCAAAGATACGAGCTCTCTCTGTCTCCGCCGCAGTCCAGCATGTTCCACCCAGAGGGATGAAGTCAGCTGTAGCCAATGAACCACTTGACCCAAACTACTGTGTGACAATAAGCCTGCCTATCCGGCAGTTCAGAGCCATTGTTCAACACTAATTCCCTCAAAAAACCAACCTACTGAGCAACTGAACCGTCAGCACTACTGCTCTCTGTCACTCAGCCAGAAACCCAGACTTCATCCTGCACCTCCCTAAAATGACTGAAGAAACAGGCGCACTTCTGAAACAGGCACGGATACCTGCTGCTGAATGGAGTCTGATCATAAAAACAACCATCCTTACATCTAGATACGCACGTTTTTGAGGCCTTGCTTATAAAACACACACGTTCTTATTAAACCAGAGAGATGAACTGGTCTGTATCTTTTCTGTTATTCTCGGCAGATCTTATTTTTCCTGTAAAACAGTCAACATAAAAACCCAGGTGGATGTTTCCCAGTTACCTTTAGTCTGGCCAGTCTCTCTCTTCGGGATGGTGCCCTGTTATGGTGCGTCTATCCTTTTTAAGCCCTCTACCTCAGTCTCTCATTGTCCTCAGCATAAAGGGGGGATGATGGAGTGCAGCATGGGAGTGATAGTAATCACCCCCCGCTTGTCCTCCTCTCCACCCCCTACCCATACAGCATTTATTTTCCTTGTTTCATGCAGAATCATATTATTGTTATTTATATTGAATCCTGCTAATGATGGCCGTCTGGATAGGCGTCATGCATCCTAATGTTCTTGTTCCCTTTGCATCCCCTTTAACTGTAAAGTTCAAACAGAAAAATAGCAAAACACGTTTAATCGTTCACCTCATGTCTTTATTCCATCTGGTTGTTTTTATTCAAAAGAAAGAACAACTTTTTATTATTTCAACAGGCTGAACCAAGATAAACCTTTAGTGTTTCCTCTCCTACGTGAAGATTTGTGCATTAGTATCATTTAAAACCTCACAGCTGGACACCAACACTGTATATTATGGGATGCGCAAAACATACAAAGTTTAGAACACGTGAGAAGTGGTGTAACTGGACGGGACTCATGTTGATCAGCTCACTTTGCAGTCCTGCAGGAGTCTCCTTGTTCATGTCCATCTCCATTTCACCTCACCCTTTCACATCGTGGATTATGATCACTTCAGATTAGAAAAAATGTTCTTTGACTGTAGCTACAGTTTAAGTTTGCTACAGCAGTGCTTAAAAATGTTACCTTTTTCTTTTTTTGTTTAGTAAAAAGACCTAAAAAAATCTTTGACCTTATTATTCATTTACTGGAAATGATCCAACAATTTACATGTGATTGGAAAAATATGTGTACCTTAAGGCTTTCTGCCAAAAGCAACATTTTTAACCTCTGTAAGTTTAAACAAAATTATAAAAACCCCTTCAAAGAAATTTTCAGAATGCAGTAAAGTTCCTTTAAAGGTTTTCAGACTTTTGACACTGGAAAATTCCTCACTGCATCACTATGATCAAATATAAAATGTCCTATTTTAATGACCTTTTTCATCTTTTCACACTTAAAGGTGCAGTATGTAAGAATGAAGTAAGAATGGCATCATGTGGTCACATGTGGGTACTGCAGTCTATTTTCCTAAACAAAATGTGACTTTCTCCCAGCTGTTCCAGTTTTATGGCTGTTGCCAGTTACAAATCAGTGCTAGGAGATAGATGATAAATGAAGGCGAGTCATACAGTATGTTGGTAAGTAGATAAATAAATTGACATATCTGGTATTATCATTCTTGTGTGTTTTATGGTAGGGAGCATTTACTACACTTATTACGGTAGTATGCCTAGAGTTTGCCATCTTGCCGTTAGATTGATGTTATAGTTCTGAACGCCTCATTAATGGCAGTAAAATGCCACGACTGACTCATTATTCACGTCACACATAGATTTCACTGTAATATTGGGTTGTTGGTCATTGAAAATATAGCTTGAAATATTTTAGAGCCATTTGCTTCTTATTCACCATTAGCATTGATAGCGCAACTTTAGCCTCTAGCCTGCTTCACCCAATATTAAGAGTGAAACAAAAAGATGCCGTAGCTTCTCAGGAGTACAAGAAATAACTTCTGGGTCACTGCGATTTACTGGCTTAAGCCTAATTCATGCTTCTCCATCAGCTCAGTGAGGGAGAGAAGCTCTTATTGACGGACATGTTTTGCCTTCAGACTTCTCCATTATCTGAGGAGTGTTGCAAAGTAATTCCCCGCCAGGACAACAGAGGGTGTAACACTTTTCTTGGGTATCTTGCCATGTATCCGGTCATTTACTATTATGTTTATATTGTGTTTTTTGCATTTCAGAGATTTTCAACACGGACAAATGTGTCCCTAACCCCATTTTCACACTGCAACATCAGCAGTGCAAAACAGCAGCGGAACGGTTTCCTTGTTTCCTTGCTGTGCTCTTCGTTGGATTTACGAGATCACAAAATCCCTCAAGACTTCCACCATCCTCCTTGCTTGACTTGCGAGATCACAAGCTCACTCAAGGTTTGTTTCTGCAATATGCCATTAAACCAAAAAGAAGGAAATGACGTTTGACATCACTTTTTGATGTCATATATGATGTTGTTCCTCTCCACTGTCAGGATTAAAGCCATGAAAAACACACCGCAGCACTTCTAGAACAGTACTGGGAGTAAATAAGCCTTTGGGCCACACGTAAGATACACATATATGAAATTGCATCGCTGTAGTACTTTTATTTTGAAAATTACGGGGGAATTTACACCGAAACCATGTGTGATTTCCTATCTAGCTCCATGTTAACTGCGGAAATCGACGTGTCCCAGAAATGGCACGCCGCGCCGCTTCTGCGATGTGCCTTCATCCTTGCGAGCCTGTTGGAGAGCCCTCGCTAGGACAAGTGGTGGTGTTGTGTGTCGCCACACTGATGCAGATTGAGAAGCATAAATCAGACTTTAGGATCTTAACAAAAAACTGAAATACAAATGCCAAGGCAGCAGCATTAGTCGACAGAACGTAAATAGTGACCACGCCCTCTTTAGTTTTTTTGAAAGGAGAAAACTCGACAACCCCCAGCCGGCTGAGAATGAAACGTGTTTCAGTATACCCATCCCTCCAGCATGATCGAGGCATTACATCATTTCGCTGAAGAATTCTTACATAATGCTCCTTTAAAATAAATTTTATGAAAAACCAAAATTCCACACATCAGTGGGACTTGTGTGTACAGAACTAAACGGTAACAGTCTTTTAATAATCACAGGGAGAACTTTGGTTTGTACATGTAAGTGTACACAAATGCTAGTGACCCATTTGGCATTAGTGAGATTTACGAAACTTACATTTGGCAAGGCATATGAGAAAATACCAAAATAAAACTGTAATAAAATGCAAACATCCCAAAATCTTTACAAATGTTACAAAAAGGCACATTATGATATGCATAACTCAACATGGAGTCTAATCATCACTCTCAACCCTAAAAATGAGAGCGGCCTGGATGAAAATACCGTTTTCATCGTGTTTGGATGATCGCTGACTAAAATCTGTGTGCTGTGGGGAAGGAGCTAAGCTAATCTGAACATGTGCTCGCACTGAACTCACTTGTGTCACAGAACAAAGGCTTCATCTACCATTTCTGTTACTAGATGTTTGTTAGTTCATCTTTAGCTTACAAAAAAATCACGAGCAAAGTGACAAGCAAAGACATTCTGTGCAATAAAAACTCACATAGATTCCAAACAGTAAATACGTTTGTTTCCTCTTTCACTTTTCAGGAATTGCAGCCCAGAGGACGACAGTTCGGTCAGCTGACGAGGACAGGAACGTGTGGTCGTGGGGGTGCCACCTACACTGGATCACCTTGTCCCAGTGCTCCCCCGCCAGTGTTTGAGGGAGGGGCTTCGTCAGGTCACCTGGGGTCAGTAAAAACGTCCAGATGGTTAATGGTGTGTAGGACTCAATAGCGTCATTTAAAATAACACTTCCTGGTACCTTGTAGGTCGCTGATGATGATTTTGTTGTCATAGGAACCGGTGAGGAGATGATGGGCCCCGGGTGAGAAACGCACAGAGCGAATGTCGCTGCTGTGGGGGCGGCAGGTCTGGACGATGCGTCCTCCTCTGATGTCATACAGCATGCAGGTGCTGTCTTCCTGCCCGGTGGCCAACAGGCGGCTGCTGGGATCCACGGCAACAGAAGCAACTGCACTTCCTGTTTAATTTACAGGGACACTTCCTGAATCCAACTGAGGTGGCAGACAATTTTTTATTTTTGAAATTTCACATTAAATGATGATAAGAGCTATCATTACTAATTATAGCCACATCTTTATTCTGTAATTGAGTACTGCTGGATCATTTGTTTTAAATCTGTTTAAACCTGTAAGCCCCTCCCTCTGTTCCAGATCCCACCCCTGCAAATGTTGTCATGTCAGCTCACTGATGTCACTAACAAAACCCTCCGCAGTCAGGATCCTACTCACCTGATCCATGCAGAGTTGTGCCTACCACTCGGACACAGCTGGGCACCCGCAGGTCCCAGAACCGGACCGTCTTGTCCTGTGAGCCTGACGCGACCATCCAGCCTCCCCATGAGTACAGCGTCAGAATGTGACCTGTTCAAATTCCATCATTTGTTTTTATTTTAACCATATTTACATACCTTAATGTAGCACAGTGGCCGCTGAAAAGCCGACCTACCAGTGTGACCACTCAGGGCATGAAGGCCTTGTCCTCTCTGACAGTCGGTGGTGTAGATGTTGCAGTCCCCGGCCCCGGCGCTGATCAAGATGGACCCTCCGCTCTCTGGGCCCTCCATGAAGGCCAGGTCTCTTATAGTGCCATCGTGCATGCTGAACTCTAGGTCTGGGCCTACATCAGAGGAGCTTTTAGCATGCGCAGAATACACACAGCAAATGATCAAAAACAAAAGAACCAGCACCTGTGGCATTGCATGTGTCTGCATTAAAAGGCAGCACTTTGACGTATTTATCATTGGAGCCAGTAGCCAGCAGCTGTCCGCAGTGGCTCCACGCCACGCAGTAGATGGAGCCCTTGTGGTGTTTGTTGCGTCTGAAGCGCACTGCCGGCTGCTTGACTGAACCGCTGCAGGAGGAAACCAGCCGCAGACAAAAAATAAAAAAAATAAATAAAATGTGCATAACTTTGAACTTTGACATGCTCTGCTTCCTCATCATTTGCAACAACATCTACCTGGTGTTTGGTGTTTCTGCGTATGCACAAACTCTCAGAGTTTTAGAGTTAGACCCCACAGCATAAAGAGCTCCGGACGGATGAAAAGCCACCGCGCGCACCGCCTGAGTGTCCTCCAGCTGGCTCACCCTCACAAACTGGCTTTTGGATTTTCCTGGCTGCACAAGATCAGAGAAGTTAACTTTTACACTGAGCAGGGACTTGATCCACTACAGCCTCACGTTCACAGAATACAGAACGGATGCAGGCCGGAATCCGTGCTCCGGTCCGCGTCTGTTCTGCACTCGGTGTAAATGAGGCTGATCGTGGAACTTATTTAAAGATGATGATCTCTGCAACCTGAAGGTCTTGGTCAGATTTACCTCGTGCGTGTTTCGTGTTGCAGACAAGCCAGAATCATCAGACGCTCTGATCCTTTCAGCACTGATAACAACAACGCACATTTTTATTTAGAAATCCTAAAAATGTGTTTCATTTTCCTAATCAGTAAATTCTTATTAAAGCAGGAACAGCATGTAAAATCAAATACGAGATGGGTCCCACCTCCGACTTTTAGGGACTGAAGATTCATTGGGTGAACACGTGGCGTGATTTCCAGAGCTGATCTGGGAGCT